GACCAGAAGAAACAAACACTGAGGTGGACAGAGTTTCCTCTGGACTCAGAGTTTCTCCATTAGCATCCTTTAATGAATGGAAAAATCTTCCTGACTCCCTTCTATCTGCAGCAAGGAATAAAGAAATCCAAAGCCTGCCTACTAGAAGGAATATGCAGTTAGAGTCCCTACAGAAGGATTGTCTAATTGCTGCTCCAGCTTTAGGAATGCTCAGACTTCCAGAACATTCAGAACAGCACTTCTGATATGCATTTAAAGAAGGAAAATAACCAAAACCTTGAGAAAGCAAATCTTCCAATGAATTTGTGGAATACAATAACTAGCTCTGAAAATTCAATTTACTTTTCACGCCAGTTACAAGGAGCAGAGGGAAGTCTGAATTTGCCTAGTCACAAAACTAGCCCTGAGCTTGTAGCTCTTCTGCTCAGGAACAGAATTAAACAGGTAAGTCAAAAGTTCCAAATTAGCTTGATTTGACCTCTTAAGAACTGCATTATGTTGTGGAAAACCTGCTGCTTGCAAAATAATCACTTGAAAAACAGATTCTAATGAATATTTCATCCTTCCGGCGCTCTGAGAAACTTCAATTAAAAAATAGAAAACAAATATGATTGTGCCCCAGGCAAAGAGGAAATATCCACTGTCACACCAACACAGGGTTATTGTGTTCAAGTGTTCCAGGCTAGGCTGTCCTGGACAGGGCTTGGAGCAACCTGGGATAGTGGAAGGTGTCCCTGCCCATGGCAGGGGCTGAGCAGGGTGAGCTTTAAGGTCCTTCCAACCCAAACCCATCTGGGAATCTGTGATTTTATAATTCTATTGATTAAGCCAAGAGATGCACAAACAAAACTCACCATTAGGGGGAAGCTCAGTCTTCAGTTTTGTACTTGCCGCCGATGTAGGGAACGTACTGCAAGACCAGCTTCCAGTCTGTGGCCCAGATCACACCAACGCCAGCCACACCACCCCATGTTGCCAGGGTGGGGGTCCTAAAGAAGAGACACACCCAGGGAAACAACAAATTACCACTGGGAAAGGCCTGGCAGATGCTCATGGCTGAGATACCTGACAAAGGCACTTCAATCAGGAAAAGAGCTTAGAATTCCAGAATAACCTGAGCTGGAAGGCATCCATAGGGATCATTGATCCCAGCCCCTGTCCCTGCCCAGCCACCCCAAGAACCCCACCCTGAGAGCTCCTGGAGCTCCGGGCAGCCTTGGCACCATTCCCTGGGGAGCCTGGGCAGTGCCCAGCAGCCTCGGGGGGAAGAACCTTGCCCTGAGCTCCATGCCAAGGCCTGGCCCAGCTCCAGCCCTTGCTGGGCTCCTGTCCCTGTCCCAGAGCAGAGCTCAGCCCCTGCCCCTGTGCCTGCCCTGGGCAGGAGCTGCAGCCCCCAGGAGCCTCCCCTCAGTCTCCTGGGCTCCAGCTGAACCAGCCAAGTGCCCTCAGCTGCTCCTCAGCCCTTCCCCAGCTCCGTGTCCCTCCTTTGGCCACTCTCCAACAGCTTTGGATCCTTCTGATCTTGTGGTGACCAAGCTGGACACAGAAATACTGAAACAACCTCACAGACACGGAACAGCATTAGTCCTCAGGGCAGCCAAGATATTTGACAGGAAAAAGCTCATAGTCTTTTACTTAAAAAGACTACTGCACAGCGAAGAGAAGACACACTACCATACATGGCTGCCGCCACATCCCGTCGGTTCTGCCCCGGTTTTGCCTCCCACAGCCCTGCAAAGGGCACCCACGGCACTGCTGTATTACCGCACGTGAAACAGCCAGCGCCGGGTGGGCCGCAGGCCCTTTCCCCGGCCCCTCAGCCCGGCCCGAGCGCTGCTCCGCACCCCAGCACCGTCCCCAGCGACCCGCATAGAGCGCAGAGGGAATGGGGAGGCCTCGGGCAGGGCTTCGGGAAGGAGCCGGGATGCCCTTCAGGCTCCCTCAGGCTCCCACAGAGCGCGCTGCGAGCGCGGCCGTGCCGGAAGGACGCGGTGAGGGGAGCGCGGAGCCTCGGGCAGGGCGGACAAACCCGGACTGGGCGAGCAGAGCCCGGCTCGGAGCGGACAGAGAGCCCCGGGTGGAAGCGGGCAGCCCCAGCGCGGCGTGGGCAGCCCGGCAGCTCCTCACCAGGTCCGCAGCAGTTCCGCGTAGCGCGGCCCCAGCAGCTGGCTCAACATGGCGATGGCGCCGCCTCACTCAAAGTGACCCCGAGCGCCGGCGGCGGGGCCGCTCCGAGCACGCGCGGGGCTGCAGCGGGGCGGGGCTGCGGCGGAACCGGCCCCGCGCGGGGCTGTGCGCCAACGTGAGGGGGCACGGGCGGCCGTGGGGGGACACGGGCCACCCTGAGGGGACACGAACCCTGTGGGGACACGGGCCACTCTGAGGGGACACGAACCCTGAGGGGACACAGGCCATCCTGAGGGGACAAGAGCCACCCTGAGGGGACACGGGTCACTCTGAGGGGACACGGGCACTGAGGGGACACGGGCTACCCTGAGGGGACACGGGCTACCCTGAGGGGACACGGGTCACTCTGAGGGGACAGGGGCCACTCTGAGGGGACATGGGCACTGAGGGGACATGGGCCACCCTGAGGGGACACGGGCCACCCTGAGGGGACACAGGCCACTCTGAGGGGACACAAGCCCTGAGGGGACACGGGCCACTCTGAGGGGACATGGGCACTGAGGGGACACGGGCCACTCTGAGGGGACACGGGCCACTCTGAGGGGACACGAGCCACCCTGAGGGGACACGGGCCACCCTGAGGGGACATGAGCCACCCTGAGGGGACACGAGCCCTGAGAGGACACGGGCCACTCTGAGGGGACACGGGCACCGAGGGGACATGAGCCACCCTGAGGGGACACGGGCCACCCTGAGGGGACACAAACCACCCTGAGGGGACATGGGCACTGAGGAAACACCAGCCGAGGGGACGCCAGCCCAGATGGGACATGGGGCTTGATGGGACATGAGCCCTGAGAGGACGGGTTTGTCTCTGTGTTGGAGTGGGACACGAGCCCTGAAGGGACACGGACCGAGGCTGTCCCCAAAGCAGAGGGAGGACAGCAGCTGCCCCTGCACTGTAGAAGGGATGTGAGGCCTGTCTTTGCACCAGAGAGGGGACACGAGCCCTGAGGGGACAGGATGTCTCCACTTTGGAGAGGGGACACGGGCCCTGAGGGGTGGCAGTGTCCCCACACTGGGCTGGGACTGTTTCTCGGCCTCTTGTGCTGGAGGGAAGTGCCCCCTTCCCAAAGGGGTGTGCCCAGAGCCTGTCAGTGCCCCTGCAACCCCCCCTGTCACGGCCGCTCAGTCTCTCCCAGCAGGAGAGGGAGTTTCCAGCCAGGTTTTTCAGGAGAGGATCATAAAATCACCATCAATTCCATAATGTTCCCCAGGCTCTGCTCAGAGCCTGCTCAGCCTCTCGTGAACATGCAGGAGGAACTCTGGAACAAACACCCCTGAGCAGCTGTGGCTGCCCCTGGATCCCTGGAAGTGTCCAAGGCCAGGCTGGAGCACCCTGGGATGGTGGAAGGTGTCCCTGCCCACGGGATGAGCTTTAAGATCCCTTAGAACCCAAACCATTCTGTGATTCTGAGACTGTGTGGCGGTGCAAGCATGACATGACATTTGCCACAACATCTGGTAGCCTCATCCCAGCTCATCTTCAGGGAGGGAGCGCTGGCAGGAGCTCGCTTGGTGGCCACTGCTCTGCTCTGGGAAGCTGTGTATGCTCTCAGCAGCTCCTCTGTGCTGCTCCTTGCTCCTCTGTGCTGCTCCTTGCTCCTGTCCTCACCGGCTCTCCCAGCCCAAAGCCTGCTCTGGGCACTCGCCTGCTTAATGCTCCACCTTGTGCATTTGTTGAGCATCCATCTTCCAGGCTGCTCCCAAGCACTTCTCCCTCGCCTGGAGCTGAGCTGTAAACAGCTGGCACAGGCTGCCCAGGGCAGTGGTGGAGTCACCATCCCTAGAAACACTAAAAAAATGTGTGGAAGTGGCTCTTGATTTTTAGTGGTGGACATGGCCGTGCTGCTGGGTTAATGGTTGGACTGGGTGATCTTCAAAGTCTTTCCCAATTTTAATGATTCTGTGGTTTTATGATGCAGTCTAAGGAAGGATCCGTGCACCCAGAGCAGCTCAGGAAGGGCAGAGCTGCCTCACTGCTGAGAGAAGGCAACCAAGGCTAAGGGAGATTTAAGCAGCCACTGCCAGAGCCACTTCTCAGTCAGTCTGGGCTGCTTGTCCTGCTCTGGAGCAGCACAGTGAGAGCACAGGCAGCAAACCTGGGAAGGAAGGCTGCTCCCAGGCAGAGGCCTTGGCTCTGGAAGTGTCCAAGGCCAGGTTGGATGGAGCTTGTGGTCTGGTGGAAGATGTCCCCACTTGTGGCAGCGAGTGGAATGAGATGGGCTTTGTGGTCCTTTCCAGCCCAAATCAATCTGTAATTCTGTGACAGTCCTGGGGGACCTTGGAGCCAGGTGGGGTTGGGCTCTGCTCCCAGGAGCAAGGGACAGGACAAGAGGAAATGGCCCCAGGTTGTGCCAGGGAAAGTTTAGGTTGGATATTAGGAATAATTTCTTCCCAAAGAGGGTTGCACAGGCTGCCTGGGGCAGAAGTGTTCAAACAATGGATGTGGTGCTTGGGGCATGGGTTAGTGCTGAACTGACTGTTGGACTCCGTGATCTGAAAGGTCTTTTCACCCTTAACGACTCTGATTTGATGAATTTCTCCCATCACCAGTCTCTGCTGGGGTCCTGGATGGGCTGGGTGCATTTAACTGGATTGAAGTGGATTTTTTGTGGGTGCTCCCCAGGGACAGAGGCAAGGAAACAACAGAGATGCAGGGGGCAGGATCCACACCCAGAGCAAGTGTCTGAAAACCTGTCTGGTGTTTTCTTTTGTTTTTTGGTTTTTAGTACAAGGCAAGGCCTTTATTCCAACTTTTAATTCCTAGGGATACAACATCTGAAGGACACACATGGGGATAAAAAAAGTAATATTGTTATAAAATGTCACATTTATTGCTACATTACTGTTATATACAGGACAGTTCTCAAAATCTACTTTAAAAAAGTTAGGATTATTTAAAAATTCCAAATAATCCAGCCAGCTGTTTTGACACTTGTATAAAATTATTTAAAAAAATGAAAACAATTCATATCTTGAGGCACTCAGAAACACAATTTCATCCCCCAATTGTGATTCATTTCAAAGAGCAACGCATTTCCCACCCCCAAATACTTTTTTTTTTTTTTTTTTGCTGGGTTAGGCATATATATATATATATTTACTATATATATAGTTCAAAACTATAATGTGTATCTGATTTAAGAACAAGGATTTCAGCCACTTAAGTACATCTGGATTTACAGGTAGGCAGCATAAACATCAAAAGCAAGGACCATTTTTATTTTAAAGGCCAAAAACCAAAACAACCCATAACTTTCTACAGGGTTAAAAATAAACAACTTCCGCAGGCATCTCCCATCTGCTCTCCCACCCCCCATTCCTACAAAAATATAAAGAACATCCCAGGAATGCTTTGTTTCCCCGGAGAGCTGGAGCCCTCTGCAGGGACAGGTCATTCCCAGCTGGGATCCTCCCTGTCCTGCCCCTGTCCCCTCTCCTGGCACACACAGCAGCAGTGGCTGCTGCGGGGCTCCCACGGCTCCTTCCCTCCCCGTGGCTCCACGGTACCAGGTTTGCTCAAAGGCTGCTGGCTTCTGGTGACTTGGGAAGACGTGGCCCTGGCAAGGGGGACAGCTGGTGTCCCCAGCTCGCTGTCTCCAGGAGCTCCACGGCTCCCTGGGCACAACCCAGGGGTGCAGGGGGCAGCCCAGGGGTGCAGGGCACAGCCCAGGGGTGGAAAGCACAGCCCAGGGGTGCAGGGCACAGCCCAGGGGTGCAGGGCACAACCCAGGGGTGCAGAGCACAACCCAGGGGTGGAGAGCACAACCCAGGGGTGCAGGGCACAGCCCAGGGGTGCAGGGCACAGCCCAGGGATGGAAAGCACAGCCCAGGGGTGCAGGGCACAGCCCAGGGGTGGAGAGCACAGCCCAGGGGTGCAGGGCACAGCCCAGGGATGCAGGGCACAACCCAGGGGTGGAGAGCACAGCCCAGGGGTGGAGAGCACAGCCCAGGGATGGAAAGCACAACCCAGGGGTGCAGGGCACAGCCCAGGGGTGCAGAGCACAGCCCAGGGGTGCAGAGCACAGCCCAGGGGTGCAGAGCACAGCCCAGGGGTGCAGAGCACAACCCAGGGGTGCAGGGCACAACCCAGGGGTGCAGGGCACAGCCCAGGGGTGCAGAGCACAGCCCAGGGATGGAAAGCACAGCCCAGGGGTGCAGGGCACAGCCCAGGGGTGCAGAGCACAGCCCAGGGGTGCAGGGCACAGCCCAGGGGTGCTCTTTGGCCAAAGGCCTCGGTACCAGGACACCCCTTTGGAAGCAGAAACCCCTTTGCTCTCCTGGGCTGGTGCTGCAGCCACGCTGGGCTGAGATGTCTCAGGGTGAGTGTTACAGCCTTGCCCTCCAGCACAGCATGGGCTTGGCTGTGCCAGGGTGGGAATGGGGAGCCCTGAGGAGCAGGAGGGGTACAAAGCCAGGGGAACAGAGACACCAATGTGGGCACCCACGACAGGAGTGCCCTTGGCCCGGAGCTGGGCTGCAGATGGACACACAAAGTTTGGCAGAAGGTCATGAGGAGCCTGCACCACCCTCCTAAGCAGAGCCCCCCTCCCCCTGGGAGTCCTGCAGGCCAAGGCACAGCAGTGCTGGCTCCCCAAAAGGGCTGAATTGTCCTGGAAATCAAAGTACAGAGCACCAGGTGCCCAGGGGCAGGGAGAGGCAGCTGTGCTGTGGGACACTGGCAGCACCCACCCCAGCTGCTGGCATGGGCTGCCCCTCTGCAAAGGGAAACAGCTCAGAGATGCTGGCTGGACAGACTGGGGAGCATGGCAGGAAGGGAAACACCCCTGCAGGCTTGGGGTGGCTGAAGGAAGAGCAGCCCCAGCCAAGGCTGAGGCTCAGGGGTCAGGACAGGGCAGTCTGGGCAGCAGCAAGGTGGAACAGAGCTTCTCCTGTCAGGGGGCTGGGGGATGAGGGATGCTGGCAGAGCCCCACCAGCATTGAGCAGAAGGCACAGGAGGATGAAGGGTGCGTGGAGGAGCCCCAGGACCAGGCCCTGTCCCCTCCAGTTCAGTGCTCAGTATGAGCTGGGTGCTCCTACAGTCTCATCTGCCCCCTCCCAGCTCCAGAGCACAGGTCTCAAAATGCTTTTGGAGCTGCCAGGAATGAAGCTGGACCCTGAGGGCAGCAGGGAGCAGGAATCACAGACAAGAGCAGAGAGAATGGGCTGGGCTGGGATCTGCAGAGCCCCAGGAGAGGGGAGAGGGGTAAGATTTGCATAGGATTTTTAACAGGGCAAAGACCTCGTGCAAGCTCAGGGTACAGAAAACAGGCCTTGCTATTGCTGGTGTTGGGCAGGAATGGGGGAGCCCAGGGGCCAGGCTTGCTCTGGGTTAGCAGCACTGCAGGTGGGGGCTGAAAGCTTCTTCTGGCCCAGCTCCATCCCCAGCTTTGCTCCACCTCCCAGAGCCCAGGGATGGAACTGGAGCTGGCCCAGGCTCCCCACTACAGCACAGCAGGGCCTGCAAGAGGAACTTGGGTTCCACTGGCCACAAAGTTGGCAGCAAAGCTCAAGGGGTGCAGGGGACTGGGGGTTTGCAAAGCCTCCTGTTTCTCGAGCCCCCACAACTGGAACCACTCAGCAATGGCCCAAAGGCTCTGCTGGCTTCAGTGGGGACACTGGTGAGACACAAAGGACCTTGGAGAGCAGTTTCTGCCCTGACTCTGGAATTACAGCCTGAGACAACCACAGCTTGAGTCCATCCTTCCTGCAGCCCAGCTCTGGGGGAAGAAGGGGAGCAGAGAGCCCCAGGAGCTGCTGGCTGGGGCTGTGAGGGGATCTGAAGGGTCAGGGCAGGGGTGAGTGCCACACAGCTGGAATTCTGCTCCTTGGGCTGTGAGCAGCCACCACTGCCTGAACACCAACCCATGGGAGGCTGCAGCTGCTTTGTTCTGGGGAAAAAGCAGGTGAAAAGGGAGAAAAAACAACAATCTGCAACTTTACTGTTCATAGACTGGATTCCAGACGCTCCCCAGTCCTGTGGCATGCACAGCCTGTGTGCAGGGAGGCAGGGGGCTGGCTGAGCAGGGCAACAGGAGCCCCTGGGCTGGGGACACAGGAAATGTCCCATGGCAGTGTCCCAGTTCTGCTGCTTCACTGAGGCAGCCTGGGGAAAGAGGAACTAGAAGAAGCTGCACAGAAGGGAAGGCAGCCCCCCACTGATGAAGGAAGCTTGGGGGGGCTCAGTGGCCCCCAAAGAGGAGGGCATGTGCCACCAGGAGCAGCCATGCAAGCAAAGGCTGAGAGAGGAAGGAGGAAATGGAATAAATGGCACCATAGAACATGTCACCCCCCTGTGACAGCTCTCCTGGCAGCACCACTGCTGTGGGGGACACACAGATGGGCACAGGAGCAGGTCTGGGGATCTCTAAGATCCCAAGTGGAATGGAGCAGAGCTGTGGGCTGTGAGCTCACTGACCACAACACCTAAAGACAAGAGTTTCATTGCTACAGGGTGACATTCCAGGGCTGGGCTGGTGGGATTTTGGGGAGAGCACCTGGCAGTGGTTGTTTTCAGAAAAGCCACTTTCCCTGGCAGGTTACAGGCACCAAGCTCATACTGAGCCAAACACACTGGCAAGACAAAGGAAATTTTCCTTGCTGCTCTTCCCAATTGTTCCCTGAGCCCCTGAAAAGCAGAGATGCCACTGAGGCCATACTGGGCTGGCACACACAGCTGTCACCCTGTGCCATCGAGGCAGCTCCAGGGACAGCACTGCCACCCCCTACATTGTGCTTTTGAAATGATCTCTCCAAACCCTGCCTCTGAGGGCTAATGCTCAAAGATCTTCACCTAAGCCTTGCCATGGATGGAAGTTGGCTGGATTTGCTTTCAAAGTAACATCTTAAACCACCTAAATGCAGCTGAAAAACCCCATTTTTGTTCCAATGCCTGGGGATTCAGGGATGGTGAGAAAGGCTCTGGCTCATCAGGATTCCTCCTTGGCCTGCAGGACTCGGAGGGGATAAAGAAGTTCAGCAAATTTGTGAACAACTCATAAATCTTCTCAGGTTTCCAATTTTGTTGAATTTATGGATTTTTCTTGACTAGTCCCTTTAAGTCCAGTTGTCCATTACTGCCACCTCCAATTCTTGGGGCAAAATCAAAGGGTTTGTGAACCACTTTTAACTATTTTTTGTAGGGTTTCAAGCTTTCCAGGGCTGGGACACTGCTCCATCCCTCCTGGCCCTGGGACAGGGGCACTGAGCCAGCCAAGACCCCTGAGCAGTGGGCACTTTGCAGCCCCAGCACTCTCACCAGTGGAGCAGGAACTCTCATGGATGAAACAGAAAGCAGCTGCTGAGCCCTGCAGTTTGCACTCCAGAGCATGAATGGGAGTCAGGGCTGTCACACAGGGAGCAAAACCTCATCCATCTCCCTGCCCACTGCTTCAGCACCCAGAAGAGCCCCAGGGAGGGAAGTGTTGTAACCTGTTGAGCTGATTAGGCTAAAATGTGTCTGTTGACACAGGCAAGAAGCACCTGGGTTATGGAACCACTGAGTTTCCTGCCCTTCCCAGGGACAGAGCTGGGGCTGCTGAGGTCTCACCATGCAGAAGGAATGGTGGGAGCACCCAAAAGCTTCAGAGGGATGGTTGGATGCTGGGGAGCCCCAGGCAGGGCCAGGGGCAGCAGGGACAGTCCCATCCTGCCCTGGCACTTGGAGTGGCTCAGCTTGGAGCTGCCACAGGGTGAGGCCACAGTGCCCAGGTGTGGGTGGGGGATAAGCACTGCCCTGAGCACTTCCAGCAGGGCTTGCCAGGGCACAAAGCACATGGAGGAGCACCAGGTTATGCCAAGAGCCTGGGGTACCTGGGAAGTGCCACAGGAGCTAATCCTGTGTGCCAGTCCCTCCCTTTCCCTGTGCCAAAGCAACACAGCTTCTCCAGGAGCCCAGGCTGGAGCAGCACAGGGAGAGATGGAGCCTGCAGGGGAGAGGGGAGCTCCCCACATCCCCCCAGACCAGCAGCCATGTCTTGTGCACCATCCTGCCTGACTGGGCTCTGCAGAGCTGGGAAGAACCAGGCACAAAATGTTTCACAAGGAGAAGGAGAGGGAAGAAACAAGAGTAAATTCCTGGTGGATGTTTTTCCATGGCCATCTCCAGACTGGCAGCTGCAGCTCAGCACTGCCCAGCACCTCTTTGCTCCACACCTTGAGGGCACCCAGAGGGGCTACCAGGGATCCTCCTCCTGCTGGGGACACCAGAGTGGTCTGGAGTGACTGGGAATCCCTTGGAGTGAAGGGACAGCTGGCCCAGCTTGGCTGCTGGAGCACAGGGACAGGAGCTCCTGCTGCCCCCTTCCCAGTGCCAAGAGAGGAGCCCGTGTGCAGGTGAGGTGGCCACTCCCATCCCGTGGCAGGGCTGAGCTCAGTCTGCCTCCGGGGATGCCTGGGAGATGTGACAGCAGGTGACAGCGGGCTGTGAGGCCACCCCTCTCCCCGAGCCAGCATTGTGCATTTCCAATGGCTCCAGTGCCAGAAGGGATCCTGCAGCTGCTCAGGGCTTTGCCCAGGCTGGAGTGGCCGGGTCTCTGCTCCTTCCCTGCCTCCAGCACCCTCTGCTGCTGCTGCTGCCCGGCCTCCTGGCCCTGTGTCCCACTGCTGCTCCAGCTGCCTCTGCCTCTTCCCAGTGCTGCAGCTTTGTTCACTTGGTCTTTGTTCAGTGCTGCTCCTGGAAGTGCCTCTGGCAGCTCTGGCCCGTGGGAACAGGAGCTTCCCTGTGCATCCCTCGCTGCTCTGCTCACCTGGAAGTGCCTCAGTCCCTTGGTTCTCCTCCACCCGGGGCTGCTCTTCCAGCTCCTCCTCCCCACGGTGACACTCTGGAACAGCCGTGGTCACATCCTCTGACCCGGGGGCATCTCCAGAACAAGGCAAACCCCAGCGAGCACCTCAGTCACTGCCCGGGGAGGGGAGCACTGCTGCCACTGCTCTGCTGTTTAACTTCCTTTTCCCAAATCAGAAGTGGCCGAAGATAAGAGATGGTGAATTCAGCACAAGTTTGTTTGTTGTCATGGAAGGTACAAGCCAGGCAAGGAAGAACATTCCCTCACTGTGGCTACATTCGCTTTTAGTGGCTTTCCGAGCCGAATCTGAGAATTCCTCTCTTTATATCCAGTCTCTCTTAATACAATTTTAATATTCTGGTTGATCCTAAAGATGCAACGTTAACTATAGAAACAGCAGCAGAAAAGCGGAGGGTACAAGACATGTTTTTATACAAAAAAAAAAATTTTTTTCGTTGCTTACAAAACATATGCAAAAGAAGCTAAAAAAACCAAAAGGCATTGCTATTTGTTCTACATAAAAAATCTCATAACTAATGTTCTTTTTTTTTAAAAAAGAAATATCAAGCTTAGGCACAATTTTGCTGCTGGCTGCTTGTGAACAAGCCAAGAGAACACGCCACCCCCTCCTAACTGAGTGATATGTATTGACTGTTCTGCACTTTATACTTAAGGCAATTTTTTGTTTCCGTTTTGTTTCTGACAAAGTGTTTTTTCCACTCCTTACGTCACGCCAGGATCCGGCTGCGTGTGTCAGTATGAGCAGTACTACAGTTCATGGTTCAACAGGGCTGCAGGTCACACCAAGGGTTTTCTTCCTACACACCTCCATAGCCAGAGGAACAAAAAGATCTACAAATAAAATAAAATAAAATAAAATAATAAAAAAGTCTGAAGTGTTAGAAGCCCAGATGAGAATAAAACTGTGCTCCTTGCACAGAGGGCCCCAAGGCTGTCAGTCCCTGCAGGGCTGGGCAGGGCTGCCTTTGTTTTGGTCAGGCCATCCCCAGGCACCCACTGGGACAGGGGACACTAAGGGACTGTGTCCTCTCCTTGCACTGCATGGGATCAGCTCCTGACCTACCACTCCTGGATCTGCTCAATCCCCCCATCCACCACCTCTGCACTGCTCAGATGCTCCTAGGGTCCCTTAAAAGTGGGAACAGCCCATGGGAACCAGTGCCTGCCACAGCCTCACTGGGGGATTTTCACCTTCTCTGACTCTCTTGGCATTTCTGGGACCTGCCCATTCCCTCTCATAGAGCCACGAGGAAAAGGAATTGCTGGTTTCCAGCAGCCAACTGGGGCAGGACTGGGAGGTGCAGAGCAGAGCTGAGCCCACCCAGAGAGCTCCAAACCCCCCATCCCAGCTATGGGGTTGCACTTTCCTGTGGGCCAGAGGCTCTGGATGGGGCACATGACACACAGAGAGAGAAAATCATGGAATGGGTTGGGCTGGAAGGGACCTTAAAGTTCATCTTATTGCACCCCTTGCCATGGAAGGGACACCTCCCACCATCTCAGGTTGCTCCAAGCCCCTCCAACATGGCCTTCAGGGATGGGGCAGCCCCAGCTGCTGTGGGCACCTGTGCCAGGCCTTGCACACATGTAGGTCATTGATTTCAGGGACATGAAGCAGGGCTGTGGCTGCTGCTGAGGGAGCAGGGCTGAGCAGCCAGAGCAGAGCAGGGCATGGGCACAGGGCTGGAGCCACGCTGGGATGTGGGATCACAGGTGGGGAATGGTACCTTTACATGTGTCCAACAGGGTTGTGACCGTCTCCTAGACCAGGATGGGAAGCTGACAGTGTCATCTGGGGGTCTCCTACCACTCCGGACACTTTCTCCTCTTCCCGACGCTTCAAGCAGGCGGCTTTTGGGTTCAGATTGCGCTCTGTGCCCAAAACAGCAAGGGAGGGAGGGGAGCAACCTCAGTCTGGGCACCAGCATCACCCCTGGCAGCAGCACCCCAGAGGGACAGAGGGACCATGCCAGGCAGGCCTGTGTGAGGAGATGAGCTCTGTGCAGCGCTCGCTGCTGCCCCAGTCCCTGCAGGATCCTGCCAGGCCCCTGCTCGAGCAGAACCCCAGGCCCAGCTGCACCCCCACTTCACCAGGGAATCATGGAATGGTTTGGGTTGGAAGGAACATTAAAGTCCATCTTGTTCCAACCCCCTGCCATGGGCAGGGACACATCTCACTGTCCCAGGCTGCTCCAAGCCCCAGTCAACCTGTCCTTGGGCACTGCCAGGGATCCAGGGGCAGCCCCAGCTGCTCTGGGCACCCTGTGCCAGGGCATCTCCATGTGCTTGTTACAGGAAGCCCCAAGTGCCTCAGCCAGCACTCAGAGCTGAGGACTGAATTTTCCAAAGCTGCTTAATGGGATCCAGGTGCAAAATTATATTAAGCATGAGCAGAGAGAGAGAGCAGCCTCAAATCCACCCCGGGCTGGGGAGAGCTCAGCAGCCAGAGGTGCTGCTGGTGCTGCAAACACACAGCTCAGACAGAAAGCAGAGTCAGGACAGAGAAGCAGGAGCATGCAGAGACAGGGGAGAGACAGGCCCCGAAATGCACCTGCCAGCGGTACCATACCTCGTACTTGCTGCTCCAGGCCCAGAATGACCTGCACGGCCTGCTGCAGGATGATCAGTTTGGTCTGTGCTTTGTCCGTTTTTAAGTGCATCTGGCACATTCGTCCCAGCTCTTTAAAGGCCTCGTTAATGTCCCGCACTCGCACCCTTTCCCTGGCGTTATTGGCCATTCGCCTCTCCCGGTCCCTCAGATCTTTGTCCTCCAGTGACAAGGCCTCGTCTGTACTGCTGGGTTCACAGCACCACAGGGGTTAGTCAGGGGGTGCCACGAGGGGGGCTCTCTATGTTGCCGTGCTGGAAGTGCTCCGGGTGTCCACTGGAAATGGCCCAAACGGCCTCACTTTGCAAAGCCAATTCCTCTGGGTGCTTCCCAGAGCAGCCCAGGCTGTGTCACCTCTGCAAGCCCAGGGAAGGTGCTGCCAGCACAGGCCCAGGTGCCCAGGGGGCTGGAGGGGCCACTGGGGGCAAGGGTGGGCATTGATGCAGCATCACCCACCAACACCTTCCACCCTCTGCAAAATTTTGCCTTCCTGCTTGTTTTCAACTGAAAACTCGAAGACTGGGGGAGGCTCTCTGCCAAAAACGTCAGGTTTGTCCCCCATGGAAAGATTTTGGCAGGAAGCAAATCCTTCTTTCTAAGATTTCCTTCCCAAATTCCATCTGCAGCTTCCAGTGCTGGTGTTTGGAGCAGTGGTGCTGAAGCAGCAGGAGCAGCCTGGCCTGGCACCCTCTGAGGGGCCAGGGCAGCATTGGGAGCAGGAGCTGCTCTGAGGATCAGACTCGGAGGCAGACACTGAATCCAGATCTTTCCACACAGCCAAAACACGGCCAGAAGGGGTGATTTTTTTTTTTTCCAGGCACAGTCAGAAGCTCTGTGAGAGCCCCCACTGCTGACAGCACCCCAGGGATGCCTGACACAGGCAGGGATGGGGGAAGCAAAGTTGTGCTGGCAGCATCTTGAGCCATGGCCTTGCCCACCCCCTTGAAAGCCCCAATTTAAATACAGACGACCTTCTCCCCCAGAGCAAAACTTCTTGCAGGAAGACACCTATCTGAGGAGGGTCCTTGGGTGAGACCTGACACTGGGACAGCCTGTGGCCTCCTGGGGAGCCATGTGGGGATCAGCCTTTAGCAAAGAGGGGCTGCAGAGCCCTCCTGGAGAGCCTCTGGACAGTGCAGGGCTGTGTGAAGGGGGAGCAGGGGCTCCCTGGCAAGCGCTGCCTGTGTGGGACTGAGGGCTGCCCACTGGCCCTGCTGTACCCTCTCCTCACTGCCCTGTCCCTGCCTGTGTCCCCTCCTCGCTGCCCCAGCTGCCACCTCCTCTCCACAGGCCCAGCACAGGCAGGGGGAGGGGGCCATCCTGGCACCTGTGTCCCCACAAAGGACCCCAGATCCTTCCTCCAGCACAGGCTGGTGGCTGCAGCTCCTTGCTGGTGGCCAGTCCTGGCTGGTGGCTCCCCCAGCAGGGACAAGGCTTGGATGTCACACCTGGGCAGGACAGAGCTGTGTCCCCAGCACCAGCACGTACCACTGGCAGCTTACACTGTGTGAGGATGGGATGCTTTGGCTGCCTTGTGCCCCTGGGGGTCACCAGCCAGCCTGAAACTCCTCAGTCTCCTCCTTTCCCTTCCTGCAGCTGCTGTGGCAGTGGGAGGATCCTGGCAGCCCCCACGGCACACAGGGACCTGATGGCAGCACTGCCAGAGGGGCTGGGAGGGAGGGATTCTCTCCTGGAAAGCAGCTCAAAGCCAAGGAGGGGACACTGCCTGTCTGCACTATCTGCTGAGGGAGCCTGAAGGGCTCAGCCACCTCTGGCTGCCCTCAGGAAGGTTTAAAAAGGGACAAGCGTGGGAGACCAAAGTGAACACGGTGCCAACTCTGCCTAAGCCCTGCCCCACCCTCGGTCCTGCCTGGGATCCGTGAGCAGCAAGTACAAGGTAGAGTGGGACCACCGAGAGGTCACGGCTGGGGCATGTCTGTAGGAGATTGGAAAGAACAGAACCAAAAAGTAAAAACTTGAAATAAAAAAAAAAAATCAAAAGGAAGGGGAAATTAAAAAAGAAGACAGGAAAAAATATACATGTTATGAAAGGCAAAAAATTACAAACTGAAGAGAGGCACAAAGGACTCCAACATCAAGGCACAGCAAGGCCAGCAGAGAGGAGCACAGGCAGGCACAGCCCCCGACGCGTGTTACACAGCTCTGCAGAGAGAAAGGGGTTAACCTGCCCGGGGCGCGCTGCAGGCGGGGCAGGGGCGGGCCAGGAGCACATGCACTGCGGGATGGGGACAAAGCGGCCTCGGCCTGGGGGGACAGCCGGGACTGCCACCCTCGGCCTGGGGGGACAGCCGGGACTGCCACCCTCGGCCTGGGGGGACAGCCGGGACTGCCACCCTCGGCCCGGGGGGACAGCCGGGATTGCCCCCCTCGCTTCCCCCCTGCGATGGGTGCACACTCCGTGGTGGGAGCGAGCGTGCCCTGAGCGTGGCCCGGGGAGGGCAGAGGCTGCAGGACCCCGCTGGCAGCTCCAGGCTCAGAATGCACAGCGCTCCCACACCAGTGCAGGCAGCGAGGGCTGCTCAGCCAGGGCATCCCGCTGCCCTCGCACGGCTGCCGTGCCCCAGGGCTTTGCCAGGTGCCACACTGGGGGACAGCAGCACAGAGCCCCATCAGGCACACTGAGGGGAAAGGAACGGGCTCGGTGCTCAGAGCAGCCCTTGGAGATGGCAGAGCTGGACCCCTCTGAGAGATTCTCTAGTGGGGTTTCTGTCACTTTGCTGGCCAAGCACTGAGCACTCCTGGCTGTAGGGAAGCAGGACATGGCACAGGCGTCCCCACGGGGACCAGCATGCAGCACACGCAGTGGCAGCGGGGGACAAAGGAGAGAACAGCAGGGATGGATGCAAAAAAGGCAAAAAAAAAAATAAAATTAAAAGGACATCAACAGCCTTGGGTTGGTCCCCAAGGCCACAGGGGAGAGAGACAGTGCGAGGCACCACAGCACGTCACAGGAGACAGACAGACAGACAGCCCCGTGCCGATCAGGTACGTAAATATCACCACTCCGGGACCCTCACTGACCTCTAACTTGTTGCTCCAGGTTCAGTATGACTGATACGGCCTGGTGTAGGATTAGCAGTTTGGTCTGCGGTTTTTCGCTGTTTAGGTGCAGCTGGCACATGCGTCCGAGCTCCTTAAAGGCCTCGTTGATGTCACGAACCCGCAGGCGCTCACGGGCATTATTGGCGACCCTCCTTTCTCTCTCTCTCTCGGCTTTTTGCTCTGGGGGAAGAAGATCGTCCTCCTCATCCTCATCTTGACTAATGGTTTAAAATAAGAACGAGACAGGGACATTCCTCGTGTGCACTCTCAGCACTGGTCAACTCACAGACAAGAAACACACGGTGACGCAGCGAGATGAGAGCCCCCCGTGTGCCCTGCCAGGACCTGCCGGCCTGTGCCACGTGCAGGGACACGCAGGGGCTTCGGACACAACCAGTTAAGGCTCTTCTTCTGCCTCTTTTTTGTTTTCTTTTGGTTTTAAACAGCAAAGAAAGAACACACAATGTGATTAAGGCCTGAGCTTGTTGCCAGGAGTGTGCAGGGTGGCCCAGACAAGGTGAAGGCCAACACTGGAATCCCCAGCTGGAATCTGGGAAGATGCAGCCCTCTGCCTCCAGGGCAGGAGTGGGGCTGGTGCTGCCTCTCTGGGCACCATCACCCTGCTGAGGTCTCCGAGCTGGTGGCAGGGCCACAGAGCAGCCAACACGCTGAAGGACTCCACCTGAGCCACTGCCACTCCTCTGGCTGGATGTGACAGAGGATACAGGAGCCCAAAGCAGACAGCAGAGATGCCCCAAGGCAGGGAGGGGGTCAAACTGTGTCTGACTGGGAGCACTGGCTCCTTCCCTGCACAGCCCCAAGTGCCCACACAGGCAGGTGGGGACGAGGTGCATTGCTCTGCTTTAGGAGCATGAGGATGCCCTGAGGCCACAGGGACAGGAGCCAGCAGGAGGGTGGCAGGGACCCTTCCCCTGAGGCGGTAGCAGGAGCCCAGGCTGTGTGAGACCACACCAGGCTCCAGATGGGCAGGGCTGGGGGGTCTGTGCCACAGGATGACCCCAGCCCAAACAGCCCTGGCCTGGGAACAGAGAAAGTGAAGGGAGAGACCTGTTCAAAGAGCACCTTGTTCTGTTCCGGGAGGGTTTCAGCTCCTTCTTCTCCTCTTCTGAGTTATCTGCCACCGACGTGTTCTCCTCATCCTCCTTCTCCTCCCTCTTTATCTCGCTCGTTCCTGAGGAGACGCTGCTCCGGCCCAGCCCCCCGGACAAACCTGCAGAGAGAGCAGAGCCACGTGCAGAGCCTGAGGGGCCTGACCCACAGAGGAGGCTGGGGGGTCCCCAGGCTCTGCTCCTGCAGCCCAAACTCATCCTGCATTGCTGCTCCACACTCGGGGAAGATGGGAGGGTGCTGCCTCTGCTGATGCTCCCCCTTCTCCCTCTTACTTCCAATTTGGGAACCCAACCGACACAGCAGAGCACTGGGAACTGTGCACCCACACCTGGCAGGGGGAATGGGAAAATACAGGTTGAACACGTAGGGATGTAGGGTTAGATGGGATATTGGCAATCAGGAATTGTTCCCTGGCAGGGTGGGCAGGCCCTGGCCCAGGGTGCCCAGAGCAGCTGGGGCTGCCCCTGCATCCCTGGCAGTGCCCAAGGCCAGGCTGGACAGGGCTTGGAGCAGCCTGGGACAGTGGATGGTGTCCCTGCCTATGGGACAGGGTGAAAGGGGATGAGCTTCAAGGTCCCTTCCAATCCAGACCATTCTGGGACTCTGTGAAACCTCTGGAAAAGGCTCCAGGTAGAAACTGCCCTGTGAATGCGGCAAGGGAGCACCAGCCTTGCAGAGACATCATCCATCTCCTCCCAGGCTGCACAGGCCTGGGCCCAGCCCCACAGGTGAGTCCCCACAGCCCCCAGCAGGTGACCCTGAGCACAGGTGACCCCCCTGCAGAGCTGCCTTACCACTGTACGTGTCCTGCTGCCTGCTGAGCTCCGGCAGCGAGCTGGGCTGGGATGGAAGCGTGACGTGGTTGTGGAGCAAGCTGGGGTTGCTGGACAGCCCATCCTCAGGGTGGCCTCCTCCCACCTGCAGCAAGGAGCAGAGTGAGCCTCAGGGAGGGATGGGTCACTGCCAGCAGGCAGAGGGGACATTCACCTGAGCTGTCACCCCAGGCTCCATGGAGCAGGCTGAGGCACAGCTGGGTGCTCTGGGTGCTCCCCTCACCTCCCACCCCTGGAGCTCTGGAATGCAGGAGGGAAGAGCCAGCCTGTGCAGCAGCAGCTCTCTGGGACTGTGCTGGGGACACTGCAGCTCCTTGCTCTGAGCAGGGGCTGCACCCAGAGCCCTGTCACTGCTGTCCCCTGCCCTGAGGAAAGTCCCTCTGTGCCTGGTGCAAGGCCAGCACAGCAGAGATGACACATGTCCTGTGTCATTGAGCATCACTGCCACCTCCCCAGTGCCACCAGAGCAAGGGACATCCCAGCAACATGAACTTGGCTCCAAAGGGCTGGAGGCAAAGGGTGAGGGCCCCTTCTGAGCCCACAGCCCCGAGGCAGTGCCACACAGGCTGGGCACTGAGGGGACAGAGCCCTGCTGACTCCCCAGCTGGCAGCAGCCTACAGAGGACACATCTCATTCCCTGCTCAGGAGCAGAACCCAGGGAGCCTGGAAGGGGATCACAGCTGCTTCTCTGGAGACTGCAGATGTGTCACTGCTTGCTGCAGCAGCAAAGCAGCTCTGCCAAATATGTGCTGCTGTGGTCACCAACCTCTGGACAAGGGGAGACCCAGGTGACCCTGCATGGGACCCCAGCATCCACCTGCCCAGGGTACCCCTGGATCCATCCCATTCCCTGCAGCTGGAATGAGCCCTCACACACCACACAGGGATGTGATGCCTGCCCAAACCATTCAGAGTTCCTGGTGGCACCTGGCACTCCTGTACCCACTGGATCCCCCTTCTCCTCCCTGCATATCCCAGGAACACCTTGAAGTTGTTTTGAGGGATTTTCAATCATGTTGCAGGGAAAGAAGAGCAGCTCTCTCACCACCCCTGTCTGCCCTGAGAAGGGGCACAAGGGAAGGGCACACAGAGCTTGTGCCAAGGCTGGACTCAATGTCCCCAGAGCAGCTGGGGCTGCCCCTGCATCCCTGGCAGTGCCCAAGGCCAGGCTGGACAGGGCTGGGAGCAGCCTGGGACAGTGGGAGGTGTCCCTGCCATGGCAGGGGGTGGAACAAGATGAGCTTTGAGGTCCCTTCAACCCAAACCACTCTGGGATTCTGTGACTCAGCTCTCCCTTGCAGGAACATGGGAAGTGGCTTCTGTGCCTGTCACCCCTGCAATGCTGCCAGCACCTGACCCAGGCTGACCACACTGGGCTGTTCCTGCACCAAAGGCGACGTCCTCCTGAACGCCACGTCACACCACATGTGACACGTGTCCCCAGTGTGTCCCTGCCAGCTGCCACACTGCTCCCACACTCACCAGACTCGGGTGCCTGCTCCCCAGGGCCATGACTGAGGCAGGGAAGGCCTGGCCCAGGCTGCCCACGGCAGCACTGTGTGCTGGTGCTGAGCCCAGCAGCCCGTGCATGTCCCCGTGGTTGCTGGCCATGGCAGAGGTCTGGCCCACGGCGTGGTTCCTCAGCACGTGGATGGCTTCATCCAACCTGTCTTCCATTTTGTTTTGCTGGAAGGGCAGGACAAAGACAGGTCTGTGTTAAGTGCCCCATCCCTGGAAGTGTCCAAGGTTGGACGGGGCTTGGAGCACCCTGGTCTAGCAGAAGGTGTCTCTGCCCACGGCAGGGGTGCAACTGTATGAGCTTTAAGATCTCTCCCAACCCAAACCTTTCCATGATTCCAATCCAATTCCATGACTGCAATCCCATAAAGCCAGCAGCCTCCTGCTGATCTGCACTACAGAATGGCTGGTGGCAATCCTGGACTCGGGTGCCACAGGGCAGGGATGGGGAGCAATAACCCCCCCAGCCAGTGCCATTCCTCAAAGGCACGATGGGTGACACGAGTGGAACTGCTGAGGGCAGGCAAAACCTGCCAGGAATCCCCAGGGCTGGGCCAGAGCCCCGGGATGGGCCTGGGGCTGCCGGGGGACTCCAGGTCAGGGATGCAGCACTGGGCTCTGCTCAGCTGCTGCTCCCCACATATCCATCCCTGGCCACCCAGCTGATTCCAGGCATCCAGGGGAGAGGGTGCCACCAAAAACCCTTCACCACCAAGCCCTGAGGGAAGAGAGAGAAAAGGAGAACCCGGAATTTTTGGTGCCACTCACCAAAGTGTGGAGGCTCCCTTCGTAACTGGGAGATAAGGCACCCGCTCCGCCCGCCCGCGGCCACTGCGACGAGCCTGGGGACAAACGCAGAGTTGGGGACCGGCCATGGCCACGGCTGCCACTAGATGGGGCTGGAAGCTGGGACACCGCGGCGGCGCACCGGCCACCGCACGGCACGGCACACACGGCACGGCACGGCTCGGCACTGCTCGGCATGGCACGGCTCGGCATGACACGGCTCGGCTCGGCACGGCACGGCTCGGCTCGGCACGGCACGGCACGGCACGGCTCGGCTCGGCACGGCACGGCACAGCACTGCTCGGCACGGCACGGCACGGCTCGGCTCGGCACGGCACGGCACGGCACGGCACGGCTCGGCTCGGCACAGCACTGCTCGGCACGGCACAGCACGGCACGGCTCGTCACGGCACGGCTCGGCACGGCACTGCTCGGCACGGCTCGGCTCTGCTCAGCACGGCACAGCTCGGCACGGCACGGCTCGGCTCGGCACGGCACAGGCCACAGCAGCAACACCCGGCCCTGCACAGGCCACTGTGGCACCATATGGCACTGCATGGATCACCACAGCACAGCTCAGGCCACACAGCATTCCATGGCACTACATGGATCACCATGGCACCACATGGGCCACCACAGGGCTGTGTGGCACTGATGGGCACTGTGGCACTGCATGGCACTCCATGGATCACCATGGCACTACATGGATCACCACAGGGCTGTGTGGCACTGATGGGCACTGTGGCACTGCGTGGCACTACGAGCTCTGCTCTGGCTCAGCCCTTCAGGCCTTGAGAGGTGTCCTCAATGTCCCCGGTCTCAGTGACTCGCTGTGACCTCAGGACCAGCTCATGCTGCACCCTGGGCACAGGGAGCCTGGGCACCAGCTCTGCTGGGCACCACAGGACCTGTCTTGCCCGAGGAGAACAGGAAAGGGCCTTCAGCAGATGCTCAATGTGGGTTTGAACCACTGGCTGCTTCCCACCTCCCACTGCACTTCTCCCACGGAGGCAAATCCAGCCACAGCCTCTCTGGGATGGGACAAGCAGGGACAGGGCCAGGAAGGGCAGGAGAAGGTCCCAGGGTTGCTGCCAGCCCTGGGCTGAGGTTTAGGGGCTGACCTGGGAAATTCACTGCCTGTGAGCTCCCCAAAGCAAACCCCACCCCCTCACCTTCACATTGTCACTCACCTGCGAGGCCCTGCGGGGACCCGACCGGGGTGGAGGGGTTGGAGGAGAAGTTATTGCTAGAGTGGTCAGGGGAGTAAATCTGCAGGGACAGAAGGGGGATGGTCAGCAGTGCCACCTGAGCTAGCTGTCCCCTCCCAGTGACACCCAGCACCTGCTGGGACCTCCCTTCCCAAACCCAGAGCCAGCACAATGACCGAGCCCAGTTCCCCCCAGTTCCCCCATCAACCTCGGGGTCTGTTCCCACTGTCACCACCCCTGAGTGCAGCCTCTGCTCTTCAGGACCCCTCTCAGGAGGAAGCAGGAGCTCTCAGGAATTGTTGCAGGGTCACTGTCAGCACCCCTCTGCATCCATGCAGAGATCACTGAACAGGACAGAGGAAACTCTCTGGTAACCCAGTGAGACCAGTGCCCTCCAGTTTGAACCAGCACACACAGGGCAAGGACTACTGGGACCTGCAAGTCCTGCCACAGGGTTTGTGTAGGGTGGTCTTGGCAGAGCAGCACCAGGCTGGGAGGGCACAGAGCAGCAAATGTGACTGCAGGGCCACCACAACCTCAGTGCCTCAGTTTCCCCATCCACCAAAAGGTGCTGGGACTGAGATGACAGCACATGGAGAGGGGAAAACCCTCCCTAAAGGCTGCTGTGGATTTGGGGTGCATGCTCCCTGCTGGGTAGAGGGTCCCTGCAGCAGCAGGACTGGGACTGGGTCAGGACCACCCCAAGCTCTCACCGAGGCCAGAGCCTTCCCAAGCGCGTCCCCGGAGCTCCCGGCCGTGGTTCCTCTGTTACCTGCAAGAGAGACACAGGTGCCACTGCCAAGGCCACAGACCCCGGCAGGACACAGCACCCTACAGGACCCTCTCTGGGGTCACCTGCTCTGGGGTGGAAATTTTCTGCTTTTAGTGCTTTGCTTGAAAATTAAATGTTTGTGCAGCTCGGAGCAGCTCGGACACGGGGCACCTTCCCGTGGAAGCCATCAGGGGCTGCAGGGACATCTCTCCAAGCCCTGGGCTGGAGGTGTAGTGCCACCAACAGCAATCAGACATCTCTGCTGCAGCAGAGCCATTGCCATGGGGCATCTCAAACCCCAGCAACCACCAATGCACTTGATGAGCCTAGAGATATCTCCCAACCTTAATGACACTTTCATTCTATGAATCCCAAACTTCCTTCTCCATAGAAAAGCAAGGTATTTTCTACAAATCTGTGTCAGGATCCTCATTTCCTGGGGAGCATGAGCTCATTTCAGTAACAGGGTCAGAGATTAAAGCACTCAGGGGTTAATGTGGTACCCAAACCCAGCAGGAACATTCCCATTCTGGATCTAGGGAAGCAGCTTCACATAGCTGTAAATCCATCCCACAACTCATCTAAGCCACAGCACCTCCAGGAGATAATACCAGAGCTGCTGGGCTCCTCCCAGACCCACCCCACAAGCTGTAACCCCCAGAGCAGCACCCAGAACCTCCCTGTGCCTCTTCCCCGGGCAGGGACTCCAGGCACAGGTGACACACGAGGATCAGGGGTGTCTGGGTGTGCTGGATGCCTCAGGCAGCAGGTGTGCACAAGCCCAGGCTGTCCAGGTGAGCTGTGCCCGGCTGTGGGGTCAGTGTGATGCTGGCCATACCCATGATGGTGTCGGTGCCGCTGATCGGGGGGGTGTGACTGGACACTCCGTACGCCGTGGGCGCCGAGGAGAAGCCGGACACGGAGGGCAGCCCGCCGTTCACCTCTGCTGAATGCAGCTGGTAGTTCTGCCAGGGAGGGAGAGCGGGCTCAGAGGAAAAGCTGTGGGGTTCAGCAGCTGGGGCAGGACCCACAGCCAGGGCAGGAGGTGCCAGGGCCATGGGGACACGTTACCATGCGCTCGTGCTGGTGTAAACTGTTGAAGCCGCTGGACTGCGGGAGCGGGGACGAGGAGCTGCCCAGCATGGCACCGTAACTCGACTGGCTCATGGCACCCGGGGAACTCCACAGGTCTGCAGAGTTATGGAGTCCATCTGCAAGGAGCCCAGAGCTGAGTGGGGCAGGGACAGCAGCAGGCAGCCCCCAGCCCCAGGGGGAACAGGTCAGCCCTGGATGAGGGGATGGGACTGTCCCCACCACATCCTGCCTGTGCTGAGCATCACCCACTGAGCAATCAGGACAAACTCTCTGGGACAGGGACAGGAGCCCAGCAAGGGCTGGAGCTGGGCCAGGCCTCGGCATGGAGCTCAGGGCAAGGTTCTTCCCCCCGAGGCTGCTGGGCACTGCCCAGGCTCCCCAGGGAATGGTGCCAAGGCTGCCACAGCTCCAGGAGCTCTCAGGGGTGCTCAGGGTGGGGTTCTTGGGGTGGCTGGGCAGGGACTGCACTGATGATCCCTTTGGATCCCTTCTCACTCAGGATTTTGGGGCTGCATTGTGCCTCATGCACTCCTGCCCTGAGCTCCCTCCAGATGTGCAATCCCTCCCATGGTCCATAATGGGCAAGGCTGCCCCTGCTCTGCCTGGTTTGTGGGATCACAGGGCTGGGAATAACTCACCTGTCATGTAAAAGGCTCCAGGATACACAGTGCTGGGAGGTTTTGAGGGAGTATATCCAGCTGGATCCCTGCTGTAGTCATCACCTGAGTTGGATGGATACACCTGTGGGGCAGGAGAGGGGTTGAAGAGAAGGCCTTGGTCAGTCCATAGCCCCACACCCTCACCATGGCTGCCCCCAGCCCTGCACAGTAAAACTTCAAAACTCAAACTTCAGCAGTGTTTGACCACCTCTCCCATGGCAACAGAGCAGCAAGTGCTTCACTCAGCTGACCTTTCAAGGGAAGGAAGGACAGGACCCAGGGAATGGCTCCCACTGCCAGAGGGCAGGGCTGGGTGGGATCTTGGCAATCAGGAATTGTTCCCTGGCAGGGTGGGCAGGCCCTGGCCCAGGGTGCCCAGAGCAGCTGGGGCTGCCCCTGCATCCCTGGCAGTGCCCAAGGCCAGGCTGGACAGGGCTGGGAGCAGCCTGGGACAGTGGGAGGTGTCCCTGCCATGGCAGGGGTGGCACTGGATGGGATTTAATGTCCAGTCCAACCCAAACCATCTGATGAGTCCAGGAGCTTTGCTTTAATTCATCCCACAGCAGATCTGGGGGGGAACTGGAGCAGCTCAGCCAAAGTCCTCAAAGGGCACAGCCCTACATGGAGCAGAGCAGGGGCCAGGGCACAGAGGACAGGGCAGCGGGCACACAGGACAGGGTACAGTGTTCCTTTCTGTTTGTTCCTGTCACCCTCCTTGGTCCCCAGAACCTGCCCAGCTCCAGCAGAAGTTTCGACTCTGCTCCAGTTCCGTTTTCCATGGTTATAACTTTTTCTGGGTAACCACAAAAGCCACCACTGCTGCAGTGACCCCACTCTGGGGGGAACAGGCTGGGCACTGGCAGCGGGCACCCGTGTGGCCTTGGGACCCCCCTGTGCCAACCCTGCCCTGTGCCAGCCTCCTGAGCACAGCCCCCACTCAAAGCCCTCAGGAAAACCAGGCTGAGGGGAAACTGAGGCACGTGGGGCTGAGCAGCCCCTCACAGCCATTGTCACAGGGGAGGGACAAACCTCAGACAGCCCTCACACAGCTCTTGGGTCACATTTCTGCAGCACTGCTCTGCTCTGTGATTTAACAGCACATCAAGCAGAAGAAAAAGCTTTTCCTTCCCTACTAAATTAACCAAACCCATCCTAGAAAGCCCTGACCGAAAATCATCTTCTGCCAGGACAAAAACAGACTTTTCTTTTTTTAAAGCAGAAATTCAACATGCAAAGAAACCGAAATGGCATTCAAAGAAACTGAAATAGCTCTCAGATGATGTGAGAACTTTTGTCACAGGTTATTTTCATCTCCTTTGATTCATTCTGAAACCGATAATCTTTTTTTTTTAATCCAGACGAAAGCAGAGGTGGGGCAGGGGCCAGGCTCTGCCTGGCACACACAGTTCTCTTTGGGAAGGAAACTTGCCTGAGTTTCTTTTTCCCCACAGCCAGCTGCTCCCTTCCAGCCCGTGTCCTCACCAGTAAAAAGGGACAAAATTGATGGTGGGGAATAAAAGACACAATCAGAGAATCCTTAAGGTTGGAAGAGACCTTTAAGATCAAGTCTAACTATGAAAGCAGCAGCACCACCATGTTCACCACTAACTCATATCCTCAAGTGCCACATCCACATGTTTTTTGAACAATTCCAAGGTAGTGACTCCACCATGGCCCTGGACAGCCTGTGCCAGGCTTCTTTTTGTTTAAAAAACAACCCCAAAGCCCCCCAGAAATCCAACAAGGGTCAGTGGAGCTGGGGAAGGGTCTGGAGCACCAGGAGAGGCTCAGGGAGCTGGGAAGGGGCTCAGCCTGGAGCAAAGGAGGCTCAGGGGGCCCTTGTGGCTCTGCACAGCTCCTGACAGGAGGGGACAGCCCAGGGGCCGGGCTGTGCTCCAGGGAACAGGGACAGGAGCAGAGGGAACGGCCTCAGGCTGGGCCAGGGGAGGTTTAGATTGCAAATTGGGAAAATTTCTTCACTGAAAGTGTTGGGAAGCATTGGAAAAGACTGCCCAGGGTAGGAGTGGAGTCACCATCCCTGAAGTGTTCAAACAATGTGTGAATGTGGCACTTGGGGACACGGGTCAGCAGTGGCCTTGGCAGTGCTGGGGAACAGTTGGACTCTGTGACCCTTAGAGGGCTTTTCCAACCTTAATGACTCTGTGACTCTACAGAGAACTCGTAAAATAAAGACAAAAAAAAAGAGAGGGGGGGAAGGGCAAATCCTGACAGACACAGGCAGCTGCCCTTTGTCCCTTGCTCCAAACAGAGAATTCCAGGCCCTGGTCCCCGGGATGCTGCCGGGTGCTGTGGGCAGAGGGAGCCACGCGTGGGCTGGGGGGGTGGGGGAGGCACTGCAGAGCGGGAATCCAGCAAATTGACTTTTCCTATAATTTGATTAAATAGCGGGAGCGGGCTGGGGAATGGAGTGCAGCACGTCTGAGAGCCCCGCGCCATCTGGCAGGGGCTGGCTCGGGGCCAGCGCCCGGCAGCTGCACCAACAGCCCAGCCAGGAACCCAGGGAGAAAACAACGGCCAGAAAATGGCAGGGATGGAGGGACCAGGGCTGCAAAGCAGGGGAAATTCACCTTACTGTGTACCCACCCTGCTCCAGCACCCCTGGAACATCTCCTGCCGGATCCTGGGGGGCCAAGTTTCAGCACACTCCTGGCCCTGACCCTGCTAATTGTTCCTTTTGCTGTCCAGCACAGGGGAGGCTGTGAAAAGCAAATTCCTCCGAGAGCCATGTGCGGGCATGGTGGGGCTGGGCTGGGCGCTGCAGGCAGCTGGAAATCAAGGCCAGGCCCCCTCCCCTGCCCCTGGCCCCAGCCCTCAGGCCAGCAGCCCCGGGGACCTCCAGGTGAGGTCATTTCCTCCGGTGAAAATTTGCCAGCGCGGCGAGAGGCGCTCGAAAAGCCCCAGCGCTGGGATTCGCAGCGCTTTGTGGTCTGGGGTTGTTTTTCCCTCCCTGTTTTTCTTGCTTAAATGCAGGAGCTGGGGTGGGACTTTGGGCAGACTGAGGCTAAACAGAGCAGTGACCAGACTGGGAATGAACAGCCTGAAACAGCTCCCAGGCACTGAACTTGCTGTGGCAACAAAATCCTGCAGGAAGCAACTTGTACAGAATCCCTGCCCGGGTTCCTCTGGCACTGCAGCCAATGTGGAGCCACATCCAGCTCTGGATCCTGTGCCCAGACACAGCAGCCCCTGGCCAGGAGCTCAAGGGGCTCCATGCCCTGAGGGCAGCCCCAAGCCAGCACCTACTGCATAGAACCATGGAATGGTTTGGGTTCAGAGGGACTTCAAAGCCCATCTCATAACCCCCTGCCATGGCAGGGACACCTTCCATCATCCCAGCCTGCTCCAAGCCCTGTCCAGCCTGGCCTTGGGCACTGCCAGGGATGCAGGGGCAGTCCCAGCTGCTCTGGGCACCCTGTGCCAGGGCCTGCCCACCCTGCCAGGGAACAATTCCTGCCCAATATCCCATCCAGCCCAGCCCTTTGACTCCTTGAGCCCCTTCAGGCCCTGCCAGGGGCTCGGAGGTGTCCCTGGAGCCTTCTCCTGTCCAGGTGAGCACCCCCAGCTCTCCCAGCCTGGCTCCAGAGGGGCTCCAGCCCTGGGAGCAGCTCTGTGGTGTCCTTGGCACAAAAGCACTGAGCCCAAGGGCCCTGGGTTCAGGGCACAGCTCCTCTGTGCCCATCCCTGCCTGGCACTGCTGCTCACACCCCCAAACCCCTCTCGCTGCCCTTGGCATCACTCCCTGCTCACCCACCCACCCTCAGCTCCTGCAGCCGCTGACCTCGGCGAGTTTTCAAAGCAGCTCGGGAATTACAGATTAAAGCACTTCATTTGAATAAGATGCTGATTAACCTATTTATTTTGCACGGGGTCCAGCGATAACACGGGGCGGGCTCCTGCATGGGCGAGTCAGACAAGAAAGAGCCTTTGATCCACTGCCTTTGAGGCCACTCCTGCCTCACACTTCTGCTGCTGCCTAGGCACAGATCTGTCTCCCCAGGTGTGGAAGTTCAAAAACAAACCAGGAAGCTGGAGCTCCCAGCACAGGGAGGGTGAGGGAAAGAGGCAGAACCAACCCCTGCTCTGAAAACTGAAGCTCTGGCATCAAGAGGCAGCTGAGGCAACAGCCAGGGCAGAGACAGAGATTTAGGTTGGATGTTGGGGAAAAATTCCTTCCTGGCACAGGTTTCCCAGAGAAGCTGTGGGTGCCCTGGATCCCTGGAAGTGTCCAACACCAGGTTGGATGGGGCTCTGAAAACCCTGGGATAGTGGAGGTGCCCCTGGCCATGGCAGAGGTGGCACTGGATGAGCTTTAATGTCCCTGCCAACCCAAAGCATTCCACGATCCTATGAAAGGCTGGAGTGCAGGTGTCACTCAGACACAGGGAAGGAGCTGAGCTGTGGCAAATGCCAAGCAGCTCTTCCTGTGGGAATCAGGGCCCTGCAGGGCTCTGCCAGCAGGATGGGCCAAGCCCCAGCACTTTGAAATTTGAGGCCAATAAAGGCCATTTGTTGGAGCGATGTTTTCCCCACATGTCAACTGGGGTTTAAAGCTCCAAATTTCCCACAGAAATTCGAGGCAGTGACACAGACTGTGACTCAAGCAGGTTTTCCCTGTCAAAACACACACTCTTGGAGCTGGTTTCTGCCTCACATGGATCCACACAGACCCTCCAACACCCCCAGGTCTGTGAGCCCAAGCTGGCAAGGCCTGGATGCCCTCCCCTCCCTGTGTCCTCCAGAACCAGCACCTCGGGGTCCAATCCCAAAGGCAGAGCCTGTGGTGCAGGTTCCAGCTGTGCACCAGCAGCCAGGGAATGCCACAGCAGGGATTTCCCCCAGGATGGGGCTGTTCCCTGGGGAATGGGGCAGAGACTGAGGGCACAGCCCCGGGCTGGGGACAGAGCCCAGTGGGACAGAGCACACAGACATTCCAGGCAGGAATGCAGCCCCCGTGCTCCTGCAGGAACCCCGCAGCCCGCTCCAATTAACTTTCCTGGAGATCCCGTTACTCGCAGCCACAAAGACATTGTTCAGTTGATTCCCCTGGAACAGCCGCGGGAGCAGGGATATTCCTGCAGCCTGCTCAGCTTTCCTATAAAGCAGCGCACACCTGGAGCGGGCTCAGCTGCCGGCCCCCAGCGCCAGCCCGAAACCCGAGCCCGCGGTGTCGCCTTTCAGGCGGACGGCGCAGCAAACACGGCACGGGCTCCTCGGCTCCTTCCCCGAGCTGCCCCCATCGCTGCCCCTTCTCCCGCACGGGAATTCCCTTCCCTTCCCCATCCCACGCAATCCCAGCCCGCGATGCATGCGGGGCATGCGGGGTCCCACTGCTGGCAGCTTTAGTTTGGGAGAAATCCTGCAAAGCTTGTGAATTTTTAGGTTGGCACCCCAGTGTCTGCCAAGGCGAGTGGTCCCAAACTGAGGCCATTTCCCATGGGAAAGGGAAGTCATTTCCCCAGGGTCTGGGTATCAGCTCAGAGGTGGCATTTGGGATTTTAAGGGAACACTCAGTCCTAGTTTCTGCAAGCTTTAGTTTGGGAGAAATCCTGCAAAGTTTGCAAATTTTTAAGTTGGCACCCCAGTGTGGGCCAGTGTGAGTGGCCCCAAATGGAGGCAAGTGGCCCCAAATGGAGGGCATTTTCCATGGGAAAAAGATTCATTTCCCCAGGCTCTGGGTATCAGCTCAGAGGTGGTGTTTGGGGCTCTATCAGCAGGGAGGGTCCCAGGTGCTGGCAGCTTTAGTTTGGGAGAAATCCTGCAAAGCTTGTGAATTTTTAGGTTGGCACCCCAGTGTCTGCCAGGGTGAGTGGTCCCAAACTGAGGCCATTTCCCATGGGAAAGAGAAGTCATTTCCCCAGACAATGGGTATCAGCTCAGAGGTGGCATTTGGGATTTTAAGGGAACACTCAGTCCTAGTTTCTGCAAGCTTTAGTTTGGGAGAAATCCTGCAAAGTTCGCAAATTTTTAAGTTGGCACCCCAGTGTGGGCCAGTGTGAGTGGCCCCAAATGGAGGCAAGTGGCCCCAAATGGAGGGCATTTTCCATGGGAACAGGAATCATTTCCCCAGGCTCTGGGTATCAGATTAAAGGTGGGGTTTGGGGCTCTATCAGCAGGCAGGGTCCTCGTTGCTGGGAGCTTTAGTTTGGGAGAAATCAAGCAAAGTTTGTGAATTTTTAGGTTGGCACCCCAGTGTCTGCCAGGGTGAGTCGCCCCAAATGGAGGCAATTTTCCATGGGAAAGGGAAGGCATTTCCCCAGGGTCTGGGTATCTATTGAAATTAAATACCCTATGACATCATACTGCAACAGGTATCAGTTCAGAGGTGGTGTTTGGGATTTTAAGGGAATGCTTGGTCCTAGTTTCTGCAAGCTTTAGTTTGGGAGAAATCAAGCAAAGTTTGTGAATTTTTAGGTTGGCACCCCAGTGTCTGCCAGAGTGAGTGGCCCCAAATGGAGGCCATTTTCCATGGAAAGAGAAGTCATTTCCCCAGGCTCTGGGTATCTATTGAAATTAAATACCCTATGACATCACACTGCAACAGGTATCAGTTCAGAGGTGGCGTTTGGGATTTTAATGGAATGCTCAGTCCTAGTTTCTGCAAGTTTTAGTTTGGGAGAAATCAAGCAAAGTTTGCAAATTTTTAGGTTGGCACCCCAGTGTGGGCCAGTGTGAGTGGCCACAAACTGAGGCCATTTTCCATGGAAAAAAGGTCATTTCCCCAGGCTCTGGGTTCAGATTAAAGGTGGAGTTTGGGGCTCTATCAGCAGGCAGGGTCCCAGCTGCTGGTTTGGAGAGAACCTGGTCCTGCTTTGTTTGGGAGAAATCCTGCAAAGTTTGCAATGTTGCCATCAGCACCCCACTGCTGGCCAGTTTGGGGCTGCAGGACCCAGCATTTTGGGGCACAGGGAGCAGGGATGGCTCCCAGGGCAGGGAAGGGGACCATGATGCTGTCACTTACCGAGGAGGGGAGTCCAGGAGGCACCTTCCGAACCTTTTTGGGCTGTCCATCTGTGCAGACAAGAGAGGATCTGAGTTCTCAGGGGGTTAGAGGGAGGGGAAATGAGCTGCAGAAAAAGTCTCCAGGGTTGGAAACTGCAGGTACAGACAGGACTGAGATCCCAAATGTCCCGTGGCCAAGGAAGCATCAACAGTGAAAATGTCCAAGGCTGAGCCTCTCCAAATCTTGTCTGCTCCCTTTGGGGGCAGGTTTCACACTCACACAGAGATCCCAGGACAGGAAGGGTTTGTTGGGAGAGACTGAGCCCATAAATATAATAACATTTAATGTTATAACCCCTCATTGGGGTTTTTTTGGAAACACTTTAAACTTGAAGTGGGTTTGTGGAGAGAGGATGCAGAAAGGGAACACATGCAAGGCTGGGCTGTATTTTCATTTGCTTCCTACACAGGGATAGACTTGGGAAAGCTTTAGTGCTGCAGGAGGCAGGGATGTGCTTCCCAGGGACAGACCCCAGCCCCATCCCTCTGGTCCCAGCTCTGGAGGGGACACAGTGTCCTGGGGGAGGGGAAGGGGACAGTTCAGGGAAGTGGTAGGGAAACATCCAGAAGTGGTTTAAAGGGAAGCAATGGCGAATTTTTAAAAAATTCTATTTTTCATACTTATTATTTTTATAACTATTTTCCCATATTTTAAAAAATTATTTTTAATAATATTTTTAAAAATTCATAATTATGGAAAGCCCTGGCTGGGGGTTCAGGGTGCTAACACAGCAACCTGCCAAACCAGGGACTCTGTTGGGATGTAGCTCCAGAGCAGAAATTCATCCCACAGAATGCTAGAGAATCGTTTTCCAGGCTGAAGTGGCAGCACCAGAGTAGGTGCCTTTTTCTGAAAAGCACTGAAAAGTGCACCCACCACAGGGTCACTTCTGGTTTCACTCGTTGGGGAAAGCCCAAAATAGCAGCAGGAAAGTGGCTCTGGAGGGTGCAGGGGAACTCTGACGAGAAACAGCAGTTCTGGGGAACTGGAGCTTGTGCTCCCTCTCAAGTTAAACTCACACCTGACCCAGCCTTTGGTAAAAGCTCATTGCCAGATCCATCCAGGCATGGGCCAGCCCTGCTTGGGAACAGCAGAGCGGGCAGGGAGAGCTCCTGGAGCAAACATTCCCTGGGTGCCAGGCACAGCTCCAGCCCCTCCTGCTGCCTCCTCCACCCTGCTCCTGCCAGTCCTGCCTGCTGCAGCTCCAGGAGGGCCACCAGCCACAGGAACAGCCTCCACAGCAGCCCAGGGATTGCCAGGAAGGATGAGTGATGTGCAGTGTGGCTGGAGGTGTTTTTACAAGAACCTTAAGCCATTTGCTGCTTTCAGCTAATCTGGCATTTTCCAGAAAGAGAGAAATTGTACCTGACTCTTTTTTGAGGTTAGATCTCTCTCTATATATATAAAAGAGATATTTAAATACATTCCCTCCCCAAAAAAGAGCAAACACCAGCTTCATGCCAGGGGCACACATGGCAACATCAATCCCTCATTCCCAGCATCAGTATCCTCATTCCCAAAGGCAGGTCTGAGCAGGGCACCTGCCCAGGTGGCATGGTGGCACCCAGGGACACACAGTCACTCACCTATGCTGCTCTCAGCACCTCTCCTGCGAGGATTGTTGGGGTAAGAAAAATACTGAGCCCCCCCTTTGCCCCCAGTGGGGGAAAGCGTGCTCGGGCTGGCGATTCCCATCTCGCTGGGCAGGAAACCAGGCTGCAAACAAGCAGAGAGAAAAGCCCTTCCATGGAATTACACTGCAAAACGACTCACTGGGAGAGAACAGAGCTGCTTTGAGCCACCTTCACACCAATTCAGCTGAGGGGAAAAATAAACACGAGCCAAGGGGCCAGGAGGGAAAGCAAATCCGTAAATATGGGGGTGGAGGTGGGGGAATAGGTGTGGAGGAACAAAAGAGGCTTTCAGCTTGTGCTTCCCTGCTGCACCCCAGCAAGGAACCTCTGCACACCAGGGATGCAAACCAGCAGGTGCCATGCTGGGGGACATTGTGGTCCTACAGTGACCTCGTAGGTGCCATGCTGGGGGACACTGTGGTCCTACAGCCACCTTGTAGGTGCCATGCTGGGGGACATTGTGGTCCCATGGTCACCTTGTAGGTGCCATGCTGGGGGTCACTGTGGTCCCAGGGTCACCTTGTGGGTGCCATGGTGGGGGTCACTGTGGTCCCAGGGTCACCTTGTAGGTGCCATGGTGGGGCTCACTGTGGTCCCAGGGTCACCTTGTAGGTGCCATGCTGGGGGACATTGTGGTCCTATGGTCACCTTGTAGGTGCCATGCTGGGGGACATTGTGGTCCTACAGCCACCTCGTAGGTGCCATGGTGGGGGTCACTGTGGTCCCATGGTCACCTTGTAGGTGCCATGCTGGGGGACATTGTGGTCCCACGGTCACCTTGCAGGTGCCATGGTAGGAGCAGTGTGGTGCCATGCTCACCTTGATGTCCAGGAGGACAGCATGAGCCCCATGTCACCAGCCCGTGTCATGGTCAGTGCCCTGGAATGGTGCTGCCACTGCTCAGGGTGGTTTTCTCCTGAGTTTTATCAGGGAAAAGCCAAATCCCTCTTTGTAAAGCCAGGAAACTCCTCCCTCTGTTTATCCCAGCTGACCTTGGGCACGCTGGGAAGCAGCAGAGCCAGAGCCCAGGGTGCTCCCTCCTGGGATGGAGCCTCTCCTCCAGCACTCTCACCTCAGGAGGAAGTTCAGTGTATTTACATGGAATTGCACAGGGTTGCCAAAGGGCCCTCAAGTCCCAAAAGCTCAGCTTTGACCCATCTTCCGAGGGCAACACATGGAAATAAAGGAGGATTTCAGGCTTTTGAGAAACTGGAAAAAAACCCCTTTGCTTTCAAACTCTGTCTCCTCCAGAAAGGGGTCAGGGAGGGAAAGAGGAGCTCGTGTGTTCACAGCTGGTGACATTCCTGCAATCTGTTCCACTGCTCAGGTTTCCTCTGCTCCGGAGCCGCTCTGAGCGCGGCCAAGGAAAGCACCCGGAGGGATCCCGGAGCTGCTCCTCCTGCAGGCAGGAGACACACTGGGACTTTGAGCAATTTCAAAGAAAGGGGTTTTCTTCCCATTTCCTCTGCCTGGGAATGCCCCAGGAGATGGTTCAGGGTTAAACAAAGGGGAAATGCCCTGCCAGCTCTGCCCTACCAGAGCAAGGCTTTTTTGGGCAAGAACCTGATCCCCATCCAGGGCATCTCCACCACACAATTTTTCATCTTTTCAAAAACAAAACAAAAAGTCAACCCCCCTCACTCCCCCAAACTGGAGCCAGAAGCAACAACTGCTCTGGGGGCCACAGAGGCTCCATTGGCCTCCCCCCACCCCCACAAGGGGGTTTTGTCTCCTCTCCACCTCAAGTGGGATTTGCCACCCGATCCCGAGCCCTGTGCCCGCCTCTCCCGGGGCCTCTCCCGGCCATTTGCCCCCCCATTTCTGTTACCTTATATTCCCCCTCCTCCACAAAAGCCCAGCAAAACCATCACATCCAAAAGCAACACTTGGCACTGGGCCCGGTTTTCTTTGAGCAGCTTCAGTGGTAAATGAAATCCACTCTGGCACAGCCAGCACAGCTGCTCCAGCAAAGGAAACATCCTCACTTCAGAGAGGAGGAAATTATGACAAATTTGTGTAAAATTAAAACATGTAATGTGTGTGTGTGTACATGGATAAAATAAAAGCTGTCCAGCCAAAAGCTCCTCCCTTGGCTCCGGTGCTGGGACTGCTTCCCCAGGGCAGGCCGGGCACGGAGGGGGCACTTGGAGCCACACATCAAAGGGAGGTGCTCACTCCTTCCCAAAAAGCTATTTCTGGATGCTGCTGGCAGCAGGAGAGGTTATCTCAGGGCTGCTCTGCTGTGTTCCAAGCCCAGATTGACACCTCTGGTATTCCCCACAGGAAGCAAAGCTGTTCCCCCCAGCAGAGCCTGGGGTTCACATGGGGTGACCCAACAGGGCTGGGCTGTGTCTGCAAGAGGTGCCTCTGGTGTGCTGGGTCCCTTCCAGGGTTGTGGAGATCATGGAGTGCCAGAAGGATTTGTGTTGGGAAAGACCTCAAAGCTCATCCAGTGCCACCCCTGCCATGGCAGGGACACCTCCCACTGTCCCAGGCTGCTCCCAGCCCCATCCAGCCTGGCCTTGGGCACTGCCAGGGATGCAGGGGCAGCCCCAGCTGCTCTGGGCACCCTGGGCCAGGGCCTGCCCACCCTCACAGGGAACAATTCCTGATTGCCAAGATCCCATCCAGCCCTGCCCTCTGGCAGTGGGAGCCATTGCCTGGCTCCTGTCCCTGCAGGCCTTGTCCCCAGTCCCTCTGCAGCTCTCCTGGAGCCCCTTCAGGCCCTGCCAGGGGCTCTCAGGTGTCCCTGGAGCCTTCTCTTGTCCAGGTGAGCAGCCCCAGCTGTGCCAGGCTGGCTCCAGAGCAGAGGGGCTCCAGCCCTTGCAGCATCTCCGTGCCTCCTCTGGCCTGGCTCCAGCAGCTCCAGGTCCTGCTGCTGCCCCAGGGCTGGACAGAGCTCCTGCTGCAGGTCCTGCACCCACAGCCCCACCATAAAGCCAAAGCTCCACCTGGCAGTCACTCAAATGATGCTGCAGCAGCACAGAAACCACCTCAGAGACCCTCCCCAGAACTGGCCACTGGCCAGGGAGGTGGGAGATGCTGCTGAAGAGGGAGAGGCAAAGCCCAGGGCAGGCAGTGGAGGGGAAGGAGCCTCCTGGAATGCTCCCTGCCCACAGCCAGCCTGGCACAGGGAAAGGAGCTGCTTGGATCTGAGTGCCTGGAACTCCCCAGCAAGGCAGCAAGGCTGGGTCAGGGCTGGTCAAATACAAACCAGGAGTAACAATAACGAAATGAGCGAGGCTGAAGAAGATTGGCAAAGAATTGAGAGGCTGCTACAACCAACATTTCCTAACCTCTGACAAACCTCTCACCTCCTCCAACCTCCTCTGAGCCAGCAGCACACACCAATATGAGCCTCCAACACTCCACAGAGGTTTTGGAGCAGAGCAGAGGCTTCCCAGGACCCCGTGCATGGAGATGAGATGTAAATCCAGGCTGGTTTCATTACCAGACTCCCCCTCTTGGGAGTCAGTAAATGAAGCAGAAAATCTCACTGCATTTTATCATTACCTGGTTTAGTCCTGGCATCCCTGTGTCTCTTCCAAACGTGGAGTATGAGGCTCTTTCACTGCTCTTCCCTGCAGAAGGAGAAGAGAAAAGACAAGGTTTGGGGTAAGAGGGAAGTGGAGGGGATTTTTTTGCCCCCAGGCACGTGGATCCTGCCAAGGGACAAATCCTGTCCCCATAAAGCAGCTCACCCTGCCCTCCCATGAAGGGACAGCCTGACAGCTTGTGCAAAGCAGGAGCTGCTTTAAGTTCACAGAGAGCAGGTCCAAAACCACCAAAAGCCTGGAGCTGCAGTGGCACAGGGGAGTGTTTGTGGCCATGGAAACTGAGAGTGTCAGCCCCCTGCCAAAAGCTCCCTGCACACACTGAGAGCTGGACTTGGCAGGGGCAGGGCTGGAGCACACCAAGGGCCAGGACAAGTGACCAGACCTCAGGAGTTCTTTCCAGACAGCAGGAAATGCAATCCCAGCCAAGGAGAGCTGAGCTCCTGCTCTGCACAGGGCACTGGGCACCTTCTGCCCCTCTCCTGGGGGAGGTGCAACTTCCCAAAACCTGCAGCTCCTCAGAGCCAGCTGGGATCTGTGTGGGCACAGCCCCATGCCAGCGGTGCCCCTGTGAAGTTACAGATTCCCAGAAGGATTTGGGTTGGAAAGGACCCTAAAGCCCATCCAGTGCCACCCCTGCCATGGCAGGGACACCTCCCACTGTCCCAGGCTGCTCCCAGCCCTGTCCAGCCTGGCCTTGGGCACTGCCAGGGATGCAGGGGCAGCCCCAGCTGCTCTGGGCACCCTGGGCCAGGGCCTGCCCACCCTGCCAGGGAACAATTCCTGATTGCCAAGATCCCATCCAGCCCTGCCCTCTGGCAGTGGGAGCCATTCTGCCTTGTCCTGGCACTCAGGATCAATGAGGGCTTCTCTCACAACCACCTCACCCTGCACACGTGCAGCTGAAAAGAAAGTTTTGAAGGGCCAAAAAAAGAAAAAGAGCCCAGATACCTGGTGGGATGTTCCCTCTCCAAAACATCCTGGCACTCATGGTCACTGCCCTGGGCACAGCATGGCCCAGCCAGCAGCACCCAGGGGTGCCAGGGCAGCAAAGGACACAAGGAAGGGAGAAGGAAATGGTTCAGTGCTGTGCCTGGAGGTACAACAGTGTCCCTTGGGATCCTCTCCATCCCTCTAAAGCACAACCAGACACTCTTCTAGTGGGGAACAGGCAGGCCACCAGCCCCACCCCCAAAGCCTTCCTGAAAAGGGGATCACACATCACATCCTGCCTCTGGTCTGGCTTAGTGAGCAAAATTGGGAGGGGCAGGATTTTGCCAATCTGCTTAGCCTAAAGCCAGCCCCAGGCCATTAAGATGCAGGTTGTTGATGCACTGGGGCAATGCTGGGCTGGCAGGACCCTCCCCACACCACTGAGAGCTTTGGGGAAGCAGATGAGCAGGAGAGAGGAAGCAAAATGCCTCAAACCATCCCCCCTGAAGCACAGGGCCCAGAGACCAGAGAATGCCAGAGTGGTTTGGGCTGAAAGGGACCTCAAAGCCCACCCAGTGCCACCCCTGCCATGGCAGGGACACCTCCCACTGTCCCAGGCTGCTCCCAGCCCTGTCCAGTCTGGCCTTGGGCACTGCCAGGGATGCAGGGGCAGCCCCAGCTGCTCTGGGGCTGGACTCATGGACCTGTGGGTCCCTCCCAGCTCAGGATATTCCAGGATTCTTACATTGCTGTGCCAGATGGGAAGAGAGAGGACGCTGCTCATTTTTCAACCTTACCATGGAGGTCTTGAACTCAACCCAAAAATTTTAGAGAGGATTCCCCCACTCTGACCCCCAAGGCCCAGACCCCCATTCCTGCTAGGAAGGTCCTGGTAGAGCTCAGCCTCCCCTCCCTCCATGCAGTGACAGCAGGAGGCCCTGGGTGCTGCTGCCATTTCTTTTCAGAGGCTTAAACGTTAAGTAAACAAAGGTCAGAATGTCAGAGGATGGATCTCCTAAATGACCTAATTTCTAAAAGAGCTTAAGAGCTCGATCCACTGCAGCACCAGCCACGGGCACAAAGGACACAGCAGGTTGTGGCATCAGGCAGGTTCTGATTACTCCTAAAGCAGAGGAAAAGCAGGGTAATGCCAGGGGGGGTTGGCTGGACAGCAGCAGCCAGGTCTCCCTCTGATAACACACTGCAGCTTCCATGTGTGACTGCAGTGGGGAATCACAGAATGGTTTGGCTTGGAAGGGGCCCTAAAGCTCATCCAGTTCCACCCCTGCCACGGGCAGGGACACCTCCCACTGTCCCAGGTTACTCCAAACCCCATCCAGCAGCCTCTGCCATCACCAGAGAACTTGGGCTGAACCAGGGGGTTCCTGATGTGTGTAGGAAGGTGAAGGGACACTGGGCAATCCCCAACCATGTGAAGTTTAACAGGGCAAGTGCTGGATCCTGCGCTGGGATGGGGCAGCCCTGGATGCAGGGACAGACTGGGAATGAGAGGCTGGAGAGCAGCGCCGTGGGAAGGGCCCTGGGGGTCCTGGTCAGGGGCAAGTTGGATCTGAGTCACTGCTGGGCCCTGGCAGCCCCAAGGGCCACCCTGTGCTGGGGGCACCAGGCCCAGGGAGGGATTGTCCCACTCTGCTCTGCCCTGGGGCAGCCTCACCTCCAGTGCTGGGGGCACTTTGGGCACCACGAGATCAGAAGGACCCAAAGCTGTTGGAGAGTGGCCAAAGCAGGGACACGGAGCTGGGGAAGGGCTGAGGAGCAGCTGAGGGCCCTTGGCTGGTTCAGCTGGAGCCCAGGAGACTGAGGGGAGGCTCCTGGGGGCTGCAGCTCCTGCCCAGGGCAGGCACAGGGGCAGGGGCTGAGCTCTGCTCTGGGACAGGGACAGGAGCCCAGCAAGGGCTGGAGCTGGGCCAGGCCTTGGCATGGAGCTCAGGGCAAGGTTCTTCCCCCCGAGGCTGCTGGGCACTGCCCAGGCTCCCCAGGGAATGGTGCCAAGGCTGCCACAGCTCCAGGAGCTCCCAGGGCTGCTCAGGGTGGGGTTCTTGGGGTGGCTGGGCAGGGATGGGGGCTGGGATCAATGATCCCTGTGGGTCCCTTCCAGCTCAGGATATTCCAGGAATCTGTGAACCCAGTGCCAGCTCTGCACTGCTCCAAACCCACAACCTTCTCTGGATGTCTCTCATTCCTCACTCAGCATCTGCTGCACCCCTGGGTCTGTGGGTGCCCCATGGGATGGGGGACATTGTCAAAGGGAGGGCAGCCCTGGCCAGCCCCAGCTCCTGCACCCTCCATCATCACAGAACAAGGGAAAAACAGAAAAAAAATCAGCACAAGAGATTTTACATTTAACTGTCTATGAAAACAAGGCAGAAGGAAGAGTGGCACCTTTCTGGATTGGAATGTACCTAAACCTGCTGAAATTCAGAAGGTGCACAGCTGGGCAAGGAAAGGCTGAGCTTGCCAGCAGAAGGAGCTGTTTCTGTGGGCATGCAGATGGCACAGGTGGCAAGCCCAGACCCACCCTGTCACCCCTTGGCAGCCACAGCCCGGGGCACCAACCAGGAAAGGTGGCAAAGCCTCAGGAAGGAGGCAAGGACCAGGATGGAGACAAGTCCCAGTAACCTGGGAAAAGCCACCAGGAATCTCCCAAAACCCCACCTGGCTCCCAGCAGAATTACTGAAATCCTGCAGATGGACGTGAAGGATCTGGTGGGAGGAGGAGGAGGATATAGTGGGAATAAATCCTCAAAGAGGAAAGGGGTTTCCTTTGGAAAGGAGGGGAAGCACAGTGGAGGCACCTCGAGTCAGTGCACCCACACACTGGCTGAGAGCATTCAGCATTCCCAGATCTTCCTGGCATCCCCTTCCTGCCCTTCCCCGTGCCAGCTCCTTCTCCTGCCCCCCATCTGCCTGTGCTGCCTGCAGCCCTGCCTAAGGAGCCTTTCCCAGCCTCCCTGCTCTCCCAGCATGTTCCCTCTTGCAGGATCTGCCTGTGTGGGGCTCTGGGAAGCCTCCCCCAGCCCTGCCTTCACCCAGGGCTTTTCCAGAGGAACCCCCCACGCTGTTTGTGCCACTCCTCCAGTGCACATCTGCTTCTGAGCTTGGAGACGAGGTGGAAAAATATAAACTGCTCTTCCCAGAGGTTCCCACCCACTCTGGCAGTGTCAGGGATTGGCTCTGGCACCCTGGATCAGGGCAGCATCTCACCTCCACTGGAGCAAACTGCTTTTAAATAATAATAAATCATGGGTTTGCCATTTCTCTCACAGACCACAAAATCACAGAACAGCCTGAAATATGGGGGTGGAGGGAAGGAACTCGCCTGAGTTGGAAGGGATCCACAGGATCATCGAAGTCCAACTCCTGGCCCTGCACTTGACAGGCCAAGAAAAATTATTTAAATGCTGCCTACAAGTTTTTCCAGCACCCACTGGCAGAACCAGTGCCCCCACATCACCCTAGCCCCAGCAGAGCCACCACCCACCATGCACCTCCCCCAGCCCCACACTGCTAATTCCATTAGAATTCCATTAGAATTCTGGCCTGGGGGGAAAGGGGAGGCAAAACACAGCCAGGGATTAAAAACAGGGAGGAAAAAAAGAAGTTAAAAAAGCAGGAGCAGCGACCACCCCCTGATTAAACCCATTGTCCAGGAAGACCCCAATCTACAGGCACCAACAATACCCACCCGATTAGGAACACTGCTCTGAAAGGCAGCTAATTACTAGAAATAATTACTAGAAAGAAATCTGTTATGGCTTATCAGTTTCCTTGCTGTTTAACCACCCCACTCCTCGCCTGTCCCCGCTGAAGATGAATGCTAAATTGTGAAATTGGTGACTTAGAAAAGCCCTCCTCACCCTCCTCATCCTCTGGGACGAGCCGAGCTGGTTTGTCACTGTGTGGTGTCCTGGCACTGACTGGGACAGCCAGGGATGCTCCTGTCACCCTCCCCACCCCAGGCTGGGCAGCTCAGAACTCCCCAGGAGGTTCCCAGTCCTCCAGGAGCAGCACCAAAGGCTCAAAGCTGGGAAACTTGGAGGAGGGAGCAATGGAGAGCTCAGACATTGGTCCTGCCCCTGCTCACCTGGTTCAAAGCCCCCACCTGGGAGGCTCCTCATTCAGAGCACTGATGGTGTTTCCATTCAGGTGTTTAGAATCACAGAATCCTGGAATAGCCTGAGCTGGAAGGGACCCACAGGGATCATCCAGGCATTAACCAGGAGACCCCAACACCCTGAGCAGCCCTGGGAGCTCCTGGAGCTGTGGCAGCCTTGGCACCATTCCCTGGGGAGCCTGGGCAGTGCCCAGCAGCCTCGGGGGGCAGAACCTTGCCCTGAGCTCCATGCCAAGGCCTGGCCCAGCTCCAGCCCTTGCTGGGCTCCTGTCCCTGTCCCAGAGCAGAACTCAGCCCCTGCCCCTGTGCCTGCCCTGGGCAGGAGCTGCAGCCCCCAGGAGCCTCCCCTCAGTCTCCTGGGCTCCAGCTGAACCAGCCAAGGGCCCTCAGCTGCTCCTCAGCCCTTCCCCAGCTCTGTGTCCCCCCTAATTTATTTTCTTATTCTTTTGACAAATTTAGCTTATTCCATCCTGTGCAACACAGCCCAGAGGTCCCTGCCCAGTCCATCCTGAGGGACTCTGATTTTCCCCATCAGCTGTGGAGCTGAAGCTGTGGCTGAGGGCAGTAACTGAAGGTTCCCCTCACACTGTGCCTTTAATGAGAGCAGCAGGGGCATCACCCAGAGCTCTGTGGGAGCCTGGCTGGGGAGAGCATCTCCCCCAGGAGCTGGGTCAGTGCAGCCCCTCTTGGCTCTGTGCTGAAGGTGCCTCCTAAAGCCAAGCTCCCTTTGTGCCCCATGTTCATCCAAAGAGCTCAAACTCAACAGCTGAACAGAAATCAGTGCTTTTCCTTCCAGCTGCTTTTGGATCAGGTGTGCACCCTGTGATCCACAAGGTCACCACCCCAGGACTGGGCTGGACTGGGGTGAGGAGCAGTGGCTGTCCCTCCCTGGGGACACTGCAGCGAACAACAGGGATTAAATCAGAGCTTTGTACTCCCCCAGCCCCTTCCTCACTGCCCTGGGAGGGGACCCTGAGCAGGGGAAGAGGGCTTGGGCTGGGCTGACACCAAAGGGCCCAACCAGGACAGGAACAAAGGGCAGGGATGCAGCCTGTGGGGGTTTCAGGGATGCTGGCAGTGTCCTGCTCCCCTCAAACCAGACCTGCTTTCCTTCTCTCCTGGGCCAGGCAGATCCCTCCAGCCCTGCCTATCCCATGGGGTTTGCTGCTTGTGGAGTTTGTGACACCAGCTCCCAGCACAGAAATCTGGCTGGACACATTCCACTGCTCCCTTACCCAAAGGGCCACTCCACCCTGCAGCCTCCCAGCTCCTCTGCTTGCTCCCTGCTCCTGTCAGATCAGTCTGAGTGGTGACAGGGCCTGTGCAGGAGGGTGAGCACTGGCTGGATCTGGGATCCCCCTCCAGGGCCCCAAAATGCCCCAGCCTGCAGGGACAGGGGAAGGCTCCACCCTGGAAGGGATGTGATCACTGCTTCAAAGCTCAGGCTGGCAGGAGCTCCTCAGCCCACCAGACTGTCAGAGCACAGCTTCCTTTTCCATGTGGAAAATTGAGGCAAGAAATCACCATGTGCTCAATTTCTCCAACAAGTGCTGCCTGCTGTAGTGTCCCTTTGCTGGGGAAAGGTGCTCCCTGTCCCTAAAGCCCATGCCCAGAGGACAGGGGGCTGGAGCCTGGCCCTGGGGCATGCACAGACTGCAGGAACACAAAATCCAAAGGATGGGGGTCCCAGGAGGAGCCATCACCACCCTGAGTGCTCAGAGCCCCAGTGCTGACTTTGGGGGGCCCCTTGAGCTCAGCCTCCCTCCCTGCTGGCCCAAGCCAGCAGTGCCAACACAGAGCATCCAGGCTGCTCCCAAAATGGTTCTGCCCACAGCTCCTGATCCTCCTTGAAGAAACAGAGGCTGAGTGGGAAAGAGAGAAAAATTCTGATCTTGGAGAAGGGCTCAGATGTTTCACACACCTTTCATCCATCAACAACCCCAACATGTTCATCCTCATCCTCCACCTCCCCAGATTTTGAAATTCTCTGGTTCCACTCAACCACCCCATTAACATGAACTTCCCACCCTGAGGGGCACCTTGCTGGCAACCAGGGCCTGGCAGAAGTGGGACCCATTGCCAAAACTCCCCTTTCCCTCCCATTTTTCCTCTGCTTTTACAGAAGCATTATTTTATTTTCCTGCCTGTCCTCTCCCTTATCCCTTTGCAGTTTGCCACTCTAAAAGTTTTCAGAAGCAGTTTGGAAAAGAGGAAGAGAAAATCCCACCCCTGCACTTCCCCATGTCCTTCCTTCCCAGCACATGAGCAAAGAGGGAGGTTTAGATTGGATATTGGGAGAAAATTGCTGGCTCTGAGGGTGGGCAGGCCCTGGCACAGGGTGCCCAGAGCAGCTGGGGCTGCCCCTGCATCCCTGGCAGTGCCCAAGGCCAGGCTGGACAGGGCTTGGAGCACCCTGGGACAGTGGGAGGTGTCCCTGCCATGGCAGGGGTGGCACTGGATTGGCTTGAAGGTCCTTTCCAACACAAACCATTCTGGGATTGTGTCATCTACAGAATGAAGATGTCACCAAAAAGCCACTGGATGGGCTTTAGGGTCCCTTCCCACCCAAAGCACTCTCTGATTCTTTGATTCTACAATGAAAAGTGATTTATGTATTTTGTAACCTGCTCCCAGAATCCATGCTTTCTACTTTTAATGGTTGAATTTTAGAAACAAAAGGGACTTGGAAATGTGAGGAACCCTTCCCCCTGCCTGTTCCCTATCTCAGTGGTGGAGCTCCTGGTGCTGCCCCTGAGCCCCCTGGGGAGACACAGCCCCTTGAGCCTGGGCTCACCCTGGCCCCCAGAGCCACTGGAATCCCCCAGGGAGGCCAGGGACAGGTTGGGCTCACAGGGAGAGGCAGCCAGAGGCATCTTCCCCACACACATCAAAGGGGAAACCTCTGTGTTCCTCCCCAGGCAGCTCCTTCTCAGCTGGAAACTCTCAGGGCTGCCCTGGCCCCAGGTGTGGGCTGGGCTGGGCTGGGTCCCCCCAGGCACATCCCCTCACAAGCCCCACTGAGCTGCAGCAAGGCTCCCCTGTGCTACCCAGAAACTTCTCTGTGCTCCACTTACACCCTCCTGGGCACAGAGGGAGAGGGAAGATCCTCCCTTGCAGAGGGACAGGGCTTGGAAGGGCTCCTCCCCCTGCACAGGTCTCCAAGGGACACCCAAACGTTGTCCCCAAGAGCACAAGGGGTGCAAGGGGGAGGCAGAGCTCACAGTGAGCCCCAAGCCCTGACCCAGGCCAGGAGGGGCCAACGTGTGGCTGCTCCTGTCCCAGCACCACCCTGCTCTGCTCTTCCCCTTTGCCACCACCTCCACAGGGGGGATTTTGTGTTGGGGGAATTTTCTGTTTCAACCAGGATTCCCTTTTCTTATCCCCTCCCTTCCAACCACGAGCAAGCCCTGCCCCAGCCCCGCTGCTTCCACATGTGCTGGAGCATTTTAACCACCCCTGCGTGGGCAAAGATGGGGAGGACTAACCCCAATTCCTGACCTAATGCCATTAGAGCTCTCTAAGCCCTCCAGCAGGGATATTTTCTGCTCTTAATCTCCCCTCCCACCCCTGAGCTGGGAGAGGTGACTGGGTGAATGGTCCCTGTGAGCTCCTCATGCTGCCTGCCTGGAGCTGGGCATGGAGGGGCCACACGAGGCTGGCAGGATATGGGAGGAGGCCCCTCCAAACCCCACTGCAGCAAAGGGAGCAGGCCCAGCTCTCTGGGAGGTGACACAGCCACACTGCACATCACAGTAACCCAGGGGGTCTGCTCTGGTTGGAAGTGACCATGGTGGGATCATCTGGTGCCACCTCCCCACTCAAGCAGGGTCATCCTGAGTCCTTCATAAATCCTCAACAATGAGCATCTCTTCCACCCCTAATTCCCAGCTCACAGGGGCACACTCAGCCCATCCTGGGGGGCACTGACCTGGAGGGGACACCCCTGCCTCAGGGTGCTACCACAAAGCAGGGAAACATAACCACAGACATGAAACAGCTGGCACAGCTGGCACTGATGGAACCCTCTGGGTACCACCTCCCTGGAGCACAGCCTGGAGAACACTTGGGGAGCTGGCAGGCAGCTGCAGGCACTCACCCACGAGTCCAGCTCCCAGGAACGGGGACGAGGAGATGCTGTTGTGGGATGGCAGGTCCCGGTGCTCGCCGTAGTGGGGGCCTTCACCATAGCTCTGCTGGGACAACAGGGGACAGTCACACACAGCAGGGGGATGAAACATGAGGCTGACAGGGCCCAGCCACCCCCAGGAAGGGGCAAAGCCAAAGGCTCCTTGTGAAAAGGCATGGAAAGGATTTTATCCTCGTGCCAAGGGAGAGCTGGGCAGTGCAGAGGCTGTAGGGAGGGAACATGGCAAGAGGGGACATGGAACCACACTTTGGCCCATGCTGGCAGCTCTTTGGCACCCACCAGGTAAGAGCCAGGCAGCCCCTCCCTGAACCAGGGGAGTGAAGAGGAAAGGAAAAGGCTGGATAAATTAAAATGTATATTTTTAGATATATTTATATAAATACATAAATTCTAAATACACAAATGAGAGTTGACAGCACAGCCCCAGCTCTGCTGCTGATGGGAGGGGAGGGAAAGGTGCCATTGCAAAAATGAATCACACAAACCCATTAAAACAAAACTTACACCATTTCCATGAACTTTGTGGCATTTCTCTCTTCCCATACTCAGACCCCAGTCATGAGTGTTGCAGCCTCAACTCCTTCCCTGCAAAACCCTTCCCAAGGTCTCCATCCCCACCAAGGGTGCCATGGCCAGACAATGTGGTGGATTGCAGGGGTTCCCTCCTCAGGTTCCCAAAGTCTTGTGGGGTGGATGCTCAGGAAGCTTTGCCATCAGATGAGATCCCTCAACCCACTCAGATCCCTTGACCCACCCATCTGTGTCTCCTTTGGGGATCTGTCCCATCCCCTGGGTCCCCTCTCCCCGCACCAGCACTGGGTGCAGGGGGGGAGATGCCTGAGCAGCCACAGGAGCCCATCCTAGTGCAGGTCTAGGAGAGGTTTTTGGAGGAGGAACCTCAAGGGGACCTCAAGGCAGCAAAGCCTGGGGAGATGAGGATGGGGAAAACCCTAGAGAGTTCACAGAACCCATGTCCAAAGTGGGGCAAGAAAAGCTGTTCCAGGGTTAGACCTGGCTCTGAAAGGCCTGGGAAAGACCCCGTTTGTTTTGGTTGGAGTTTGGTGTTTGTGCTTTGTCCTTACCCTTCCTTGGTCAAACGTGGAGCTGTTTTGATCTGCCGTTCCCCAGGAACCTGATCCCGGCCTTTCATCCAAGCCTACGGAAAAACAGGAAGAACAAAGGTTACACTTTGCTTTATCAGCAAAGCCTCAAAGGTGTTCTCGTAAAATTAACTCTTCCTTCTACAAACAAAACAATATTTTCATTAATAAACCACTTCCACTTGGCGTGACCGAGCCTCCCCTCTGCCTCCTCACCTTCCCACTCCCACTGGGAGTTATTCCACAAACTTCAAAGCACATCCCACCACAGCCTGGAAATGGTTCAAAACATGGGACAGTGGGAAGAGGAGAAACAAGAATTTTAACTCCTTTATTGCAGAGAGCACCCACGAAGCTCCTTCCCCCGGAGAGCGGCAGTGAAAGGGACTGAACTATAAATCAAAACCACATTGCATCCATCTGGATGCTCCAGCAGGACTTGAATTTTGCCCACGGTGGTGCAAGATCATGGGCCAAACTCTATTCAATCTGAGCAGAGTGAAAGAGTGCCCAGAGGTGAAATCCTCAGGTGGGAATTGCTGGGGGTCCACCATGACAGAGTCACCTGTCTGGGGGTGCTCTTTCAGCCCCCCAAGGTCCCCCTGAGGAAGTGGGGCCATCAGAGCACAGCCCCAGCCTTCTCAGCTTTAGCCATCTCCAGAATATTCTCAGCACAAAGGGACCCCAAGCAGCAGAGGAGCAGGCAGAAGGTTTTGCAATGTTCCTGCACGGGCTGCGGTGGGAGCTCGGCTCCTTTCATCCCCTGCCAAGCCCAGGCAGGCGGCACCTCCTGGGCTGCACCCGGGGCAGGCAGAGAACATGGGCTGGGCTGGGCTGGGAGGGACCTCAAAGCTCATCCCATGCCAGCCCTGCCATGGCAGGGACACCTTCCACCACCCAGCCTGGCCTTGGGCACTGCCAGGGATGCAGGGGCAGCCCCAGCTGCTCTGGGCACCCTGTGCCAGGGCCTGCCCACCCTGCCAGGGAACAATTCCTGATTGCCAAGGTCCCATCCAGCCCTGCCCTCTGGCACTGGGAGCCATTGCCTGGCTCCTGTCCCTGCAGGCCTTGTCCCCAGTCCCTCTGCAGCTCTCCTGGAGCCCCTTCAGGGAGCTGGGAATGTCCACCATGACACAAAATCCTTGGGATGTTGCATCAGCACAGCTCCCACAGTTCCAGCTGATACCACAACCACACGGAAGGAACCTTCTGGAAAACAGCCTCGACCTGACTCAGCTGCAGGCTCTCCGGCTGGGCTGCTCCACCTCCTGCTCCAGTGGGTGACATGGGGCTGGGGAGCAGCAGTTGGTGTTCTAAGGGGGCACATCCAGGGATTTGAGAGGGGCTGGGCAGGGTGGGGGCATCCATCATCTTTTGAGGTGCTGCACAAACTCTGCTGGGTTGGACAGAAAAAATCCCAGATCTGCAGAAGGCTGAGAGTGAGGGTGGCACCAGCCACGGACACTCCCAAGCCATGGACACCCCTTGTCCCCAGCAGGGGCACATTGGAGTGACACCAGCCCCTCCCAGCAGCAGCACCAGGGCCCTGTGGCTCTCTGGGGACCTGTCCTGTGCTGGTTCTTCCAACGGGGGTGGCACCTCCAGGTGCCCCAGGATGCCCTTTTGGGAGCAGGAGCTGAGTGGCAGCAAGGACAGGGGGGCAGGGGGTCAGGGCTCACTCCCATTTCGCTTGGCAAAGCTGATTATTATGGCAAACATGCCTCAGATTTGTCTCCTCCGCTCCCCTCACTGTTCATTTAACCAGAAACTTCTTTCAAATTACATCCTTCTATTTCTGTGCCTTTGTGTTAATCATTTCCCCAGAGAATTGGTGTTTAATTGCTGTCTAATTTGCATAATTATGCATATTAATCTCCACACCTAATGAATATTCATAATTCTCATTTAGATTTTGTTTTCTAATCAAAAATTTCCAATGTGATTACTGTGCAGAGCAGGGATAAGCCTCTAATAATACCTTGGATACTAGGGAGAATTACTGCCAATTCTCCCACCTCCTACTTCCTAGAATAAACTTTTGCTTTGCTAATGTGTTTTTCCAAAGCAATTCATCTGCAATCCCTGCAAACCCTGGCGAGGCAGGAGGCAGAAATGCTCCTTTGAGTCATTTTGCTGTCACGGGTGATTTTAAAGCTCCCCAAGGGTCGGGGAGAAGACATGAGCAGTATCAGCAGCCTTGGACATGGTTGGAAAAATGGTCCCTTCAGGCTGGAAGGACAAGGACTGCAGCACCACAGTGCCCATGAGGAACCCCAGGAGCCTCAGAGGCACAGGGGAAGCCAAGGTGTGGGGGTCCAGACCCTCACAGCCACCCCTGCCCCATGCAGGATGGGCTTTGGGGATCCTGGGTCACCCTGGATCACCCAGACCCCTCACAGAGCCCTTGGTCCTGCCACCACCCCAGAGACAACAGAGCAGCATTCCCAGGCTGGAATATGCCTGGAGAGGATGCTCAGGGGGCTCTGCAGGGAGATAGGGGGCTTGGAAGACCAGGGAAATCTTCCTCAGGTTGTGGAGTCTTCCTCCCTTGAATGTCCCTTCAGATATTCTCTGAGTTATGCCAAAACAGTCTGGACACAATCCTGTGCCCTGTGAGATGGGCCCAGAGGAGCCACTGTGGTCCTTCCAACCTGCCCCATTTTGGGATTCTGTGCCAAAATTCCTGAAAAATAAAATTAAATCCTTGCCTGGTCTCCCCAAGGAGGGAAGGAGAGGAGACAGAGTGGCACAGGGGGCAAAGACTGAGGGTGAGGGTCACACGTCCCCTCCACAAGGACACAGCCCTGGCACCTGGAGCTGCTGCATCCTGTGGTGCCACCAGCATGGCACAGAGCCTGGAGAGGGGCAAAGCCCTGAGTGCTCCAACAGCAGCTGCAGAGCATGAGCCACTCATCCAGAGCAAGGACAGGGCCCCAGCCCCTCCTTGGCCCCTTTGTCACCCCAAATGGGGTCACAGCAAACCAACCCTTTCTTTCAGGAAGAAATTCTCCCTGGCAGGGTGGGCAGGCCCTGGCACAGGGTGCCCAGAGCAGCTGGGGCTGCCCCTGCATCCCTGGCAGTGCCCAAGGCCAGGCTGGACAGGGCTTGGAGCAGCCTGGGACAGTGGGAGGTGTCCCTGCCATGGCAGGGGTGGCACTGGGTGGGATTTAAGGTCTCTCCCAACCAAAAACTGGTCTGGGATTCTACAACCCCCAAGGAAACCCAAAAGATTTTTTGCACCCTCCAAGGGTAGAAAAGCCTCCAGTTCCTGTGGCTGCCAAGGTGAAGTGTGATTCCACTCTCCCACAAAGCAGCAAAAGCATCCCAAGGTTCTGGAAGCACCTCTGAAGGTGCCCATGCCAGCTCTGTCTGATGTCTCCTGGAAAATAAAGTCTTGCACCTTCCCCAAGCTGCAGCTACTGGCTTGAAAAGTGACAGCAAAAAATCTCCTTATTTTCAGCACCTGCAGGTGTTTTAGGAATTCAGGGATTTCTGGGATGAAGCCAGGAAAAAGCAGACTGCCCTCTTTCAACGTCTGGCATCTGTCCTACATTCCCTGCCAGCCCACTCTCCCCTCCCTTCGTATTCCTAAGGATCTACAACTTGGCAGCAAACGCCCCCAGGCAGCCCTGCAAAGCCCAGTGTCTGGCCATGGGCAGGTGTGTCTGGAGCAGCTCCCATCAGCAGGGTTTGCTCACTCACAGCACACAGCCCTGAGCACAGAGTCACCCCAAACACAGCCCCACACCCTGGCTCTGGACATGAGGAGGGGGAGAGGAAGGGGAAGGGGGGAAGAACACGGCTCAGCAGCCCAAAGGCTCATCCAAGGCCACCCCAGCAGCTGTAGAGGTGACCCAGGTGCCCAGGAAGGGTCAGAGGCACCCTGGGGCACGTGGGTGTTTCCTGCCTCTGGGCACTGCCCAGGAGCTGCCCCAGGTGAGATGGAGATCCCCTGAGAATCTTCTGGGCCCCAACTGCTCCATACCTGTGGACACATCAGCTGCCTTAAAACACCCCCAGGGCTGGCAAAAAAAACCCTAAATCCAAGTCACCAAAGAGATCAATCATGGCCAAAGGACCACGGAGATGCTGCAAGGGCTGGAGCCCCTCTGCTCTGGAGCCAGCCTGGCACAGCTGGGGCTGCTCACCTGGACAAGAGAAGGCTCCAGGGACACCTGAGAGCCCCTGGCAGGGCCTGAAGGGGCTCCAGGAGAGCTGCAGAGGCACTGGGGACAAGGCCTGCAGGGACAGGAGCCAGGCAATGGCTCCCAGTGCCAGAGGGCAGGGCTGGATGGGATCTTGGCAATCAGGAATTGTTCCCTGGCAGGGTGGGCAGGCCCTGGCACAGGGTGCCCAGAGCAGCTGGGGCTGCCCCTGCATCCCTGGCAGTGCCCAAGGCCAGGCTGGACAGGGCTGGGAGCAGCCTGGGACAGTGGGAGGTGTCCCTGCCATGGCAGGGGTGGCACAGGATGGGCTTTAAGGTCTTTCCCAACCCAAACCTTCCTGGGATTTTGTGATTTTGAAAACTCCCATGGCACTGAGCTGAATTCTGTCTGCACAAGGGAGCTCCATCGTGGCAGGGCTCGCTTATGCCACCCTCCAGTGCTCTCCCACCCTCAGGTGTGTGAGTTTTGGAGACACCCATGTGCCTGTGCTGCTGGCAGGAGCCAAGCTGATTTTAAAATAACCCCATTTCCCAGCTACCCAAGTTAAGGCACACTTTCAATTGAGAAATGACAAAAATAGGAGCTACCTCCTCTCGCCATTAATACAGTTATTAAACTGAGTACAGATTAATTGTGCATTTTAATAACCCTGAGCATGAATATTCATAACACATTTCTTGCTCATGTTCTAATTAAAACATACTAATAGAATAAGATGTAGCTGTCAGACAGTCATTTTTTTTTCCTCACGGTTTTCCTGCCACAGCCAAGTAGAGCTGATAGACAAGAGCTGTCCTAAGCTTCAGCAGGGATAAAAATAATTTAACCACATTAGGCTCAGAAAAAGCATCCTTAGTGCAGCAATGAACCCCAGTAAAGGCTATGGACAA